TGTTCTTTTGCCCTACAATGTTAAACTTTTGCCTTCATCAATTGTTCTGTCCAAAATCATTGAACAGGACAAAAAGAGCCTGGAAAGCACTCCTGGTCACTCCACACCCAGTGACATCACAGAACAAATGGAACTGTCTCATTCCAGATGTTTGGTAGGTTCATTCAGGGATTTATCTCAAATCTTTCTGTTTTGTATGTGCTAGAATCTTATTGCAGATTCCAAGGCATTTTTAAAATGGGCCTGTCTCTGATTTCAGTGACACCATTTGTTCAAATAAATTTTATATATTGCATTATTTATAAACATTCTCAAGAGATTATTGGAGTCCTTGATCGTAGCAAAAGAATTGCTACCCATTTGTGTAGGGCTCACTTCAAATCATTTGCATGACTATATATTGGTCAAAGGTTTAGTCTTTATTTTTATCTACTAAGAATCCTTTCTGCTGTTAAGAGGCCCAAAGGATAACATCAAGAAGTGTGCCACTGATTGTTTCTCTAGCTGGTATGGTGCCTAATAGAAACCCTCCCTGATTTTCTGCACATACCAGATAGTCTGGGAGGACCTACCCATTTTCAGCAACTAGTAAGGTAGATGTAGATTTCTTGGTCAAGCATATTATTAAACAGTCCATATTCTGAATATGTCAGTCTGCATTGAGATTCAGGTAGGTTCTCCAGGCTGATGCAAAAGAATATAGCTTTTTTCTTCAGACCCCCAGTAAGGCAATGCTGAAATTCATAAACTTGACTTGGCCTTTTCCTCGTGTCTTAGTCCATTTTGTGCTGTTAAACAGTGTTTGAGTCCAAGCAACTTATAAAGAACAGAAGCATTCAACTTTATAAATGGTATCAACTGTTTCAGCTCATGGTCCCAAGAAAATAGCTTGAGACCAAAAGCTGGGGAAGAGAAAAGTGCAGTAGGAAAGGAGAGAGAGTAGAGGTCCATTATTGTACTAGTGAGGCCTAACATGTCAGTGGCAGAGGGGATTCTGACCAGCCACTTGTGGTAGGGTTGGCATATAGTGACTGCCCCTGCTAATTGAGCTTGTCTTTTCTGGTTCACAGGATGTCTCACTTGTGGTAGTGTTGCCTTGAAATAAGGATCCATTTTATGGAAAAGACAGTGCAGGACCACAGTATTTACAGGTACTGCCTACCATGTACCTTATCAGAAGCAGCTGTCCTCCCTGAATGGTGAAAAGTCCTATTGAATACTCAGATAAGGCACAAGCTGGGGCTCAACATCCTGTAGGTTGAGGTGCTGATTTGCAGTATCCCCCATGTGTTATGTGTATTTTTTTATTGTTCTGATTAAAACATTTCCATTTCAATTTTTAGTTCATTGCCTGGTTATTTAGAAATGTATTTTTCAAAGTCCATCAAATCTGTGGGGATTTAAAAATTTTTTTCTATGTGATTTCTAGTATAGCCAGAATGATATTCTTTATGATTTAAGTCTTTGAATGTGAAGAGAATTATTTTAGGATTAAGTTTTAAGGTCAAGTTTTGTAGGTAACATGTGCACTTGATATGTTTTTGAGTTTTTAAAGTTTTAAAGTTTTGGGGAGCAGTGGTCTATGTATATAAATCACGTCAAATTTATAAATGGTGTTTTCCACATCTTGTGTGTATCTACTGATTATTCCTTTTCTGAATACCTTAATTATGACAACATGGAATCTGACTTACTATCATAGTTATTTTATCACTTCCTGGGCAATGGAAGAATCTTATAGATCTGTATTTCTCAGCTCCCTAACCTCTCAATTTTTATTTCATGAGACACTACTGTTTTGAAAAGTTGGTATTTATCTAGTTTTATTCATATATTTACCCTTTCTGGCAGTACTCTTCATTCTTTTTTTACAGTATAGTATTGTGCTTTTATCCATCGTCAGTTTCTTTTCACCCAAAAAACTATTATTTCTTTCAATGTGAGAGTGCTGGACACAATTTATCAGTTTCTTTTGTCTGAAAATATCCTTATTTGCTTTCATTTCTTAAGGATATTTCCATTGCTTATAAAATCCTGGATTTGGGGTTATTTAAAGCGTGTTGAAGGTATTACTCCATTATGTCCTTTTTTTTTTTTTTGGTACCAGGGATTGAACTCGGGTCCTTGCGCTTGCGCGGCACGTGGCGAAACCACTGAGCTAAATCCCCACCCCCTATTCCATTATTTTCTCCCATTGTTCTTCCTTGAGAAGAAATCTTATCTTATTAAAGTCTAACCTTAATTTTTTGCTCAAGCTGCCTTTAAGATTTTTCCCTTTGTCTTTTGTTTTCAGGATTTTTGCAAAATTTTCTAAATTGTGATTTTTTTTTTTATCAACCCTATTTGAGGTTAGCAGACTTCTTGAATCAGTGATTGTTCTGTCAGAAAATTCATGGCCAGAATGTCTTCTTGCTTCTGCTCCATTTTCTTAGTGATCTTCATTTTTGAAGTTCGACCAGTCAATTCGTTATGTGAGACTTTTTTCAGCTTTCCCATGTGGCTATCATTATTTTTGAAAGAATTTTTTCTATGCTTCAGTTTTGTCATTTAAAAAGAAAAACAGCAGCAGGATACTCCAAATTAGCACCAATGAAGAACATTCACCTCATTAGATTTTTAGACATTCTTTTGCTAAGATTATTAAGAATACTACTTCTACTACTCTCCAGCTCTTCAATGCAGGCAGTAATCAATAACATCCACTCGTGTCTTAGCTACTTTTCTCATTGCTGAGACAAAATATCTGACACCCAAAGTTAAAGGGGGAAACGTTTATTTAGCTCACAATTTTTAGAGGTTTCAGTCCATACTTGGCTGGCTCCAAGGCAGAGTGGCACATGGCAGAGGGGAACAGTTCATGGTAGTGGAAGACACCAAAGCAACAAGGAACCTTAACAGCATCTTTCTGCGCCTTTATCTTATCCAGATAATTATGGTGGGTAGTACTCACACCCTTAATCCTAGTGCCCTTGAGCCTGGCATTGATTCATGAATTAATTCCAGCATCACACTAGATCCAACCACCTCTGAAACATCCCCCATGACTGCATGAGGCTTTGGGGGGAACATGTTGACACAAGCCATAAACCAGTCCCCTGTTTTGTTTGGGAAGAATTCAGATTCATTAAACTGCAAATCATTTTGTACGGAATCCTTGTCCTTAAGCATTAAGATACAGTGAAATATGAGTAGGTATTATACAAACATGAGCAAGCATCCCTGGGGTGTTTAACAAATTTATGGATAAGCTTTTTGTTTGAAACCATGATTTGGGGAGGTCAAAGCATTATTGGAGTGGGGCTAGGAATGCTATATATATATATATATCCTGTAATACAGAGGAAAGTCTGTGCTAAGGAAGATATGTCTTGTATGACCTTCATCCATCCTACTGAGACACTCATATAAGTGATATACCTGCTGATAATGATCTGCCCCAGTTACCTGATACCCTTTTACATATGAATGATGTTATGGTTTAGTTGTATAATGTCCCTCAAAGGTGTTATGTTTTGAGAGGTGGGACTCTCAGAAGATGATTGGAACATATAGGGAAGCCAAGATCATCAGTGTATTAACTCATTGATGAGCCCATAGTTCAATGTGCTTTTAGGAGATGGGAGCTGGTTACAGGAGGTAGGTGGCTGAGGTGTGCCTTTGGGAGGTAAATCCCTCTCTTGGGCCCTCTCTGCTTCTAGGTTGCCATAGGTTGAGAACTTTCTTCTGCCATTTCTGCCTTGGAGCAAGACATCTGGCATGGATTGAACCCTCTGAAACCATGAGTCAAAATAAACCTTTCTAGACTCAGTTGTAGGTGTCAGTTATTTTGTCCCAACAAGGGGAAAAGGGACTCAAATGCTAAGATCTTTTCTTTCTTTGTTTTCTTTTTTCCCTTTCTTTCCTTTGTTTCTTGCTTTGTTTAGGTAGATTGAATTTTGCACAAATAATACACAAAGGGAATCGTATAGAAATTTTATGAAGACTTAGTCACAATTTTAGAAAATCATATCAACTATCTTGTTCTCATAGTATTTTTGTTATACAAATCATATATTGTTGACAGTACAATACATAGTCTGAATGTGTATTTGAGGGGATTCTATACATAGATACAAACATCTGATCACTTGTTGGTCTACATTTCATAATGAACTAATGCTTTGTTATACAAGGTATGATCAAAAACAATGGTGAATATTTAAATCAAGAAAACTTATTACAGTAAAGACATTGCCATTAATCCCCTCAAAACTCTGTAAGTCCTCTTTTGTAAGTGTCCTTAGTTGGGCTGTTGTAGTTGCCTTGATCTCTGGAATTGATTTAAAACCTTTGCCTTTCATGATTATTTTGACTTTGAGTATGGGCCAGAAGGCACACGGTGTCAGATATGTGAATAAGGTGGATGAGGACACGAGGTACTGTTTTATGAGGATGGCTTTTCATTGGATGGCACTTGGTAGCTGCATTCATCATATTTTTTATTCCACTTGGTAAAGGCACAAAAGGAGACTTCTAGAACTGCTTCAGAAAGTGGCAAGAAAGATGAGATAAGTGTGTTTGGAGTAAAGAGGAGTATTTTGAGGGGGATTAATGGCAATGTCTTTTACCATAAAACATGTTTTTTACATTTTATTTAAATATTCATCATATATTTCACTCACACCTCATAAATTACCTTTCCTTTATCTCTTCTTTATATTGACTGGTGCATTGTTATTTTGATTTAATAATTATACTCGTGTGTACATGCTATTACTAACTGTTTAGCTCAAGATAATTATAATTTCATTTCTGGGTTTTGTTATAAAAAAGAGAGGGCTGGAGTCTGATAGGTTGAGATCAACAGGGTGGAATTCCGATATTTGGTAAGATTAATTTCAACACCCAGCACAAAACGCTTTACAACTATTAATTTTTAGTGTTTTAAAAGTTACTGCTGTTACAGAAAGCGGTTTTAGGCTGTCAATGTAGATTACCCCTGTGCCAGTAACTTTGGCACAAGAGGTACCTTTGTCTCTCAGGGTCTATACCCCACCCGGAAGCTTGACGCGGTGACACCAGTTTCCGGCGGGCTCTTTAGAGCGCCGAACAGCTTCGGGGCAAAGGACCATGCGAGGGCCTGAGCCTGGCCCTGACGCCACTACCATGGAAGGAGACGTGCTGGACACACTGGAGGCGCTGGGGTGAGAGCTCCTGGGGACCCTTACCGCGGAGATCGAGGCGTGCGCGCCGCAGCGCTGCGGCAGCCGCCTCCAGCCGAGACTCCACTGGGCCTGGGCGGCGGGTGAAGGCCGCCCCCTGCTCGGCCGGTTCCCTCCGGCGCCGATGGAGTTAAGTGGGAGGCGGGAGAGCATCGTCTGCGGGTGGGCGGCTGGGGAGGCAGGGGCGGTGGTTTATCTCCGTGACGGGTTGCCTCGGCGGGAGGTAGGGAGGTGCTGAAACCCGGGCTGTGGCGGGGACAGCCTTCGGCGAAGCGCGGGCTCGGAGCGAATCACCCCTACTCCTCTGAGAGGGGAAAGTGTTTTCGGTTCCAGCCAATCTGTACTACAGTCCGATGCTTATTTACTTACGAGCTACAAGAAGACAGTTTTCAGATGGTTAGCTTATGCAGTCATGGGAGCTATAGAGAGAACTGTCATGCAGATTACAAGTCAGGGCGCAGGGTGTTCAGTGAGAACTCCTGCGGCACGGGGAGGGGTGTGCGTTCATAGGTGCAACAACATAATCCCCACCTCAGCCTCAAATTATCTTGCCCTGCCCATTTATTGGTTCCCCTGAACTTCCCTCTTGCCATTTCTCACTCCTCCTCCCCAAGTCAGTTCCTGGAAAACAGGTGTCTTACCTGTTTTGTTCGTTGATATTTTTCTCCGCCGCGCTCTAGAATCACGTTAAATGGTGGCTGAATGAACGGGCAGAGTAGGAAAAGGTCAAAGGAGAGTGCACGAAAGTGAACATTGAGCCAGATCGTTGAGAATCAAAACAACAAAGTTAACTGAAGAGCTGGGTGTCATCTGCAGAATTGTTTGCCCAGCTGCCTGCCAGAGTTTCATAGGAAAGCGGTGCCCTGGTGGTGGTGCTGCTGTGAAATTTGACGCCCCCCCCCGCCATTTTTTTCTTCAAAAATTGCGTTTGCTACTCTTACAAACCTTTCTTAGGAGCACTGTGATAACAGCTACTTTTCTGTGACAGTGTGGCAGAGCCTTGCACTCAGTAGATCCCTAATGAAAGGACTGAGCCAGCCATGATTTAAGGGGCGTTTTTACTTCTGTGAAATTCCTTGGAAATTTTCAGTTGATTTGGCTAAGGAAGTAACCAAGAGAAGAAGTTAAGATATGTTGAAGTGTTTAGGCTCTGGTTTTTGCTCTCAAGATGGAATTCTGTAAATTGTTTATGCAAAAGAAAAAGACTGCTTTCGTCCTCCTTTCATTTCTTGGCCTTATGCTTCATATTACAGTGTTTTGGGAAATGAAGTTTACCGTAATCTTGATTTTTATCAAGTAAATTTAGTTTCACATTTTTCAGTATGTAAAGTAAAACAGTTACACACTTTATGGTTGGTTTTTCCTGGAATAACAGAGGGCAGAATTTTGAAATTTGAAATAAATGTAGAAAAAGTAGTTGTTTATTTAAAATATAGGTTGTAATTGAGCACTGTTTTTGAATGTCCATGTAAATTGTAAACACAGTAATGCATTTTCTGTTGTGATTAAGACATTTAGGATATCAGTGAGCTTTAGTTTAGGAATTAAGAGGGAAAATCTGTATGAAGGAACAGTTCAGTAATGTACATTATAAATGAAAACAGGGTGTGAATCAGTTTCCTCATTTCTGAAGTAGTATTGGGGCAGGTGACTTCACAAGTCTCTTTATTTCTAATAGTATGATTTTGTGGGACAGTAGATCATGATAATAGGTCTGGTTGTGCAGCAGAGTCATATATGGGCCTTGTGAAAAATGTTCTGGTCTGCTATGTGCTACAAACTGAATGAATCATAATCGTCAGAGGTACAGTACAAGCATGCATATTTTTAAAAAGCTTCACAAACTAGATTGAGAACCACTGTTGTAGGAGGAAGTATATTACAAGTGTTTATGGGGTACAACTGCGTATTGGACACTGTTCGGAGGAGTCACTGATGAGCAAATTAGACTTGGTCCCTGTTCTTGTGGAGCTTATTATCAAGTGCAGAAGCAGACATGATCACACAAATACTAAACTATAATAAGTGCTTCTGAGGAAAAGAGCAGGGTAGTACAGCAGGAGACTTAGGAGTTAGTGATGGGTTCCTGAGGAAGTGACATTTGGATTGAAATAGGAAGGGTAAATACAAGTTAACTAAATGACATTGGATGGAAAGGAGCATGCTGTATTAGAACAGAAAGTTAGTGTCGGGGGCTGAAAGGCAGAGGGCAGTGGGCAGAGTATTGGGAGACTGGACTGGAGAATTAGGTGAGGACCAAGTCACGCAGTACCTGTTAGGCTGTGTTGTGGATTTTATTCTTTTTTTTTTTTTTTTGGCGGGGGACGGGGGACTGGGGATCAAACTTGGGTCCTTGTGCTGGCGCAGCAGGCAGCGAAACCACTGAGCTAAATCCCTGGCCCCGTGGATTTTATTCTTAATCTAACCGCAATGAGACATGATTGAAGAATTTTAAGTAACAAAGGAGTGATTAGATATCTCATTTGAAAATATCTGTAAGAAAATGATTTGGAAAATTTAGTTATCCCACTAGTCTGAGAACGACTTAGTGGTTGCTCAGAGGCAGTGGATATGGAAAGAAGTGGATTACAGGAATTAGCGGTTGCTTGAGTATTAGAATTTAGGGATTCATTTCTTTAGTCAGTACTTACTAAGCACCAAAGAGAAATAATGCACTGGGTATCTAAATTGGATGAGAAAGAAAGTGAAGATAGGAAGCTAGTAAATACAGACAATGCAAGGGACCAGTGGAATGGAGGTAGTGATGAGATCAAAGCATAGTTGTGATTGAGTGGTCAGAAGAGCAAGCTGGAAGGATAAATAGTAGACCCTGGTCACCTGATGGGGCCACATTAATGGTGAGCATTGATATAATTTGGAAGATGGAAGTAGTTCTAGTGAGGCAAGGTCCAGGGTGGCTGATTGTTATGGAGTGGAGAAGGTCAGTACAGGGGGAGTTAGGAGATGGACAGCTCAGGTTAGTAGGTAGGGTATACACATGGACTCTGATGAAACTCCATATAATGGCAAAAGCAGAGGTGGGGAGGAAAACTGATTAGAAGAAAGGCTGAGGAGCATCCAAGATACTGATAAGTGAAAATCATAACAGACAGAGGGTGGCAAATCTGACCAGCCAGTGGTTTGAGAGAGCGGGAGAAGTATGTATGGGGAGCACTGATTTGAGTGTTGTATTGGAAAGCAAGGAGGACAAAAACCCTCCCGTTTGACCTTGGGCAGTTTGAGAGTTAGAAGACAGTCTTCCTGAGAAGAGATGCACAGCACAGGAGTGTTTATAGATGGAACAGGGTAGAAGTGTGGGAAGCAGGGAGAGATGGGAGAGCTGGTTCAGAAGCAAGGCCAGCAGGGTGAGTAAATGACAGGGAAAATGAAAGGTCTCACATTTTATATGTTGCTTATGAAAATAGAAAAATAATAAATGAGGCCCTGGATGTGTGTTTGAGGAGAGTTGTCAACAGCCTTAATGGACTAAAGCTGTGGATCACCTAGAAGTAGTGTCCAGGCCAGCCATTGTGGTTCCAGTGCAAGGTCCTGGGCCATGGAGCGACTGCGGAGGGTGTGCCTAGGGTTGTAGTAATGGTCATGTTTTTCTAATGGAATAAGACTATATAGAACAACATAGGAGTAGACAGCAGAACTGTTTGGAAATGAGAGCAGGCACAAGAGCAAGGAGGTGTGCACTGATTGGTTGCTAAATGTAGCCCACTCTGATTTCTAATAGACTGCAAGAGCAGAACAATGAGAAGTGGTGATGAGTTTTAGAGAGATTTTGGTGGAAGTAAAAAAGTGTACACTAGAACTGTGCTGCTTGGGGAGAGTTCTGTGGAGCTGCACTACTGACTTGTCTCTGGAGTAGGACTGTAGAGTCCCAGGCCTCAGTACATTATTGAACCAGAATGTGTGTTTCAGCAAGACCCTCAGGAGACTAATGTGCACATCAGTATTTAAGCACTGCTTTAGTTAGATATACCTTTCACGCTTTTATTAAATTATCAGAATATTTTTAGACATTTCTATTGTGTAAAACAAGTAGAAAGATACATTTCTGGATGGCAGTAGTTTCAGAGGGCCGGTTATGAACATGAGGTGTGAAGGTAGAGTAAATGGCTGGCTCAGTCCTTAGCCTCTTGTTAGCTATGATTATGACAATCCTAGGGGACTTGTCTCTGTGTTCTTCAGTTCCTTTCTCTGTAAAATAAGGCTAACCGTAGTACCCAGAGCGTGGAGAATACAGCAGTTAAATGAGGTAATAGACACAAAGCGCTGAGCATTGGGCCTAGCATGCAGTGGGTACATAATGTTAGTCACTGTTGTGGTTATTATTAGACGTCCCAGTTTATTGAACACATTTAGTTTTTCTTATTTTTACTTAACTCAATGAGTTCAGGCCTTAAGGATTGTGAGTTTTTATTGTTTTTTACTTTAAATTGAGTACTTTTGGTGATTTGGTGAGCTTTCATTGAATTTCATAATTAGTATTTCAGTGAAAAAGACTTGTAGCCACCAGTATGAATTAAACTTATTCAGGAGTTCATGAATATTGCCTTATTGCAGAATTGAAGACAAATGGGGGCAATAAGATACTTACTGTTAAATTTTAATGAGACACCGTAAGACACGTAGGCAGGGGTAATGCGCAGAAGCAGCCTTGAACTAGAGGTGCGGAGACCATGTTCAGTCTCCACTCTGCCTTTTCCTGGCTGTGTTATCTGAGCCAAGTTGTTTGCTTATAGGTGTTAACAGAGGCTTAAGAGTTCACAGGGAACATCTGAGATCAAATATGGTTTAAATTTTAGTGCTATCACAGTCCTATACAATTACTGTAGAATAATTTTAACATCAAAGCATTGCCATAAAGATTAAATGAATTACAACTCTTATGTGCCTAGCCCTGTGCCTGGCCCGCTACTTAAAGCTGGTATCCTAACCTTGTTAAGTCTTAATTTCTTTACTTGCCAAATGAGGATGTAAAATACTGTGCATGAGATACAGCCAGAGAATTTAGAGAAAAAGAAATACACATCTATAGTCCTAGCAGAGGCAGGAGTATCACAAGTTCAAGGCCAGCCTGGGCAATGTAGTGAGACGCCGTCTCAAAACTTTAAAAGGGCTAGCATATAAGCTGAGGGGTAGAGCACTTGTCTAGCATGCATGAGGCCCTGTGTATTTGATCCCCCAAACTGGAAAAACAAAAAACAAATGGCTTATATAGATATATGCAGAAAGGTAGAACATTGCCTCATGAGAGAAATGTAAATTCAAATGATTCTGACCTACCAGATCGTCAAAAATCCAAGTTTGACAATGTTGAGTACCAGAGAATGGATAATGTCATACCTTGATGATGTGGGTGAGATATTTAATATCATCTAGCAAGATTATATATTCAAGGGTCCGGGGATTTAGCTCAGTGGTTCCGGCGCCTGCCTTGCAAACACAAGGTCCTGAGCTTGATCCCCGGTACCAAAAAAAAAAAAAAAAAAGATTATGTATCCACTTACTCTTTAATCTAATCATCTCACCCCTAGAAATATATCCCAGATATACATTGAAAATTTACCAAACTATAATACTAAAACATTGTAAATAACAAAAATATCCTTCATTAGAAGCTAATTAAGGTACAGTACATCCTGATGAGTACTATACAACTGTAAAAATGATTAAGGCATGTCTCTAAATGTTGATCACTATTGTATGCAAATGTGTGTACATGTATGTGTTTAAAGGATTAGAATATGTAGTAAATATGTAGTAAACTACTTTTTATCTTAAAAAGGATAAAAATATACGTATATTTATATCGAAAACTATATGGAAGGACAACCCAAAACTAATAAGTATCATTACCTATGGGTAGAGGGCAGAGTAGAGGGAATAAGATATGATTAAAATTATAGATTAGATTTATGTGGATTTACCTTATTTTATATGTGAGACTTTAAAACTGCTTAAATTACATAATTATAAAGCAGAATTAAATAAAAATGAAAGTAAAATAAATAAATGCCTACAAATTAAAGCAAAATGAAACAACTATTAGCATATGGAACATGTGGGTAAATTGCATGGAAATGAATTGTTTTTCTATATATCCTTATTTGAATATAGTGGTACCTCGGTTCACAAACTTAATTTGTTCTACAATTTTGGAAAAGATGGCCATATTCACTTTGAGTGGGAAAGATGGCTGCAGTTGTGTTTGTCACCCGATGCAGAGTTTGCAAATAAAAACAAAATTTTGCCAAATCTTTTTGGTGTGTGAACCAAATTGCAAACAAAAGCATTTGTGAACTGAGGTACCAATGTATATTCTTAATACTGAAGCACTGGATCATTGATCCAAATGTGATCAATTGAATAATTTATCTCTCAGATGAGTTTAATTGAAGAATTTGTCCTTGATATTCTATGAAAACATACTAAAAACCAAAAAGCCAAAACAGGAAAATTTCTGACATATTCTGTATAGGGCAATTGAAAGCATTATTTCCAAATTAATTGGCCCATAAATTCAGGCATGTCATGACAAACCCCTCTCATGGTCTTACACTTTACATTTATTACAGTAGGGCTTGATGTTTGGGGTGTATACATCAATAGATGACATGAAGGAAGTTGCTATTATTATGGTAACCTGAGCATGTTGGAATCCAAAGAGGTTGGATGTTATATGCAGACTATGAATCCGAGTCAGTGGTAGATCTAGGCAAAATAGACAGTCAAGGTTGGGCACAGCAGTCACCAGCAATTCCCAAATAATGTCTGTCCCTTGGGAGAGGCAAAATGAAAATTTTCTCAAAAAGAAAACCCACTGAAAAAAAAAAAAATCTGGGTTGATCCCAGTTGAAGAATTTGACTCATAGGGACAAATTGTTCAATTGTTCAAAAACGTAAGCTGTTTTTGGTGATGTTTTTAGTAATAACGCTGAGTAATAAATACTGAGTTTGCTGTTCCAAACAATTTATAGTTTATATCCATCTTGTATGTAACAGGATTATGCAACTATCATGAAAAATTTTCATTTTAAAAGAAAAATGTAAAACAAGTGAAATCCTATAATTCTAAATATAAACTGAAAATTGACATATGAATTCCTGATAGAGTTCCTTTTAAAAAGGTGTGGTGTGGCTTAGTGGTGTAGCTCAGTGGTAGAGCACACACAGCCCAGCCAGCGCCCTGGATTTGATCCCCAGCAACCCCGCCAAAAAGACTCAGAAACACTGGCCAGCCTGTAATGACAGATTATATACTAAAGGGCCGGAGATTTAGCTCAGTGGTTCTGCCACCTGCCTTGCAAGAGCAAGGTCCTGAGTTCAATATCCGGTACCAAAAAAAAAAAAAAATCATATACTCAAGTTACCATTAGAAGTGATCAGAGCCTCAGGGGTAGCAGTCTGACCTCAGGTGTAGAGCTGGAACATCTTTTCATAGAATGCAAGGAAAGTATTTGAAGGATACTAGGGAAATTCACAAGACTCAGGATGTGAATGGGCTTAGTACAGTTTAAATATCAAAATAGCTGCAGTGGATTAAAGCACATTAAATGTATTAAAATCTATGTTTACAATATTAAAAAAAGCTTCATTGCAGAAAACAGTAAAAGTAGAAAATTGATACCTCAATTAAGATTCTATATAAGGTGTTTTGAACAGTGAAGATTCTTATCAAATACAATTTACAGAAATGTTTAAAAGTATAAAATTATGAGATAAATTAGATTAAAATGATATCAGGGACCTTTTCAGCTGTAGGTTTTAAAAATTTTTTTTGAAATGATCTTGATATACAGCTCAGGCTGGCCTTGAACTAACTGTGTAGCCGAGGTTGCCCTTGAACTCACGGTGATCCTACTTCAGCCTCCTGAGTGCTGGGATTACAGGCACTCCTCACTGTGCCTGGCCAGTTTAAGGTTCTTTAAATTTGATATTTGCATCTGTACTTTCATCACTGTACTTCTTATTCTTTGCACTCATAAAGCTGTTAGACTTTCTTTTCCTAGACTTTGTGTTATCTGTAATATTTAAAATTGGTAGTTTTACTGTAAAATGTTAAAATATGGGGAAAAAGCCAAATATTAATTATATAGAGAAGAATCAGCAGATTGTTTCTGAATGGGATATTAAGGCCAAAGAGTTAGCATTACAGGCTTTGTTGATTATTCTGTTACAATTTGTCCAGCTCTGCCATTGTAGTATGAAAGCAGCAATAGACAGTCTATGAATTAATAGGTTTATTGGCTGTGTTCTAGTAAAAGCTAATTTACAGGGCTGGGGACTTAGCTCAGTGGTTTCGCCGCCTGCTGCGCAAGCTCAAGGACCTGAGTTCGATCTCCGGTACCAAAAAAAAAAGTTAATTTACAAAAACAGGCAGCAACAGGCCTGGATAAGAGAATACTATAGGATTCTTTCTCTCTCTCTCTCTTAAATGTTTATTTCCTCCTTTGTAGGTATAAAGGACCACTGTTAGAAGAACAAGCCCTTTCCAAGGCAGCAGAGGGTGGACTTTCTTCACCTGAGTTTTCAGAGCTCTGTGTTTGGTTAGGCTCTCAAATAAAATCATTATGCAACTTGGAAGAAAGTATCACTTCAGCTGGTATTTGCCATTATGTTTTATCTACTTTATGTTTAATAGTAAAATGAACTGACAGCTTATAATTTATAGTTTTCTGAACACAAAAATCACTGATATTATGAAGAACTTCATTATAGGCTATTAAAAACCTTTGGATTAGATTTTATTGTAATCAAAAATTGATTCTTAAATTTGCTAGAAAATTATAAGCAATTATTTATCTGCTATGTTAACCTTAGTTTTGTTCTTTAGAAAAAATAGTCTGAATTTTGTTATTTAGAAAGTTTAATTTTTAAATATGGCTTATTTTGAATTAAGATTTTTTTATTTTTAAATACATGAAATCCCTAATTTATTTTCCCAAGCTTGTAACTCAGGACATGGATTCATGCAGAAAAATACTTTTATAAAAAACTTCTGTACTAGCTCATAAAACTTGTTTAATTCATCACCAACTTAGAGTCTTTTGGGATCTTTGGATAATAAGATGAAAAATGATTAATCACAGGCCATTTGCTAGGGGAGAAAGTAGCCTTCCCTTCCAAAGCTGTCCTTTTAAATTATTTTTTCTGTGCCAAGTTAACAGTATAAAGTAAAATATATGAATCTAAAACATGAAACAAGTTCCTGCCTACTTGTATTATGAAGTAAAGATAAGCAGTTAGGCTTAGTTAGAATGTATAGAAATAGTAGAAATGGAGCATTTGGTCTGAAATTAATAAATGTAGCCCTAATAATGCTGTTAATATTTCAGCTATTATCAAATACTTCCAGTTTATCTGTTCTAATGGAGAATCCTTTAGTAGAGACTTGTCAGATTTAGGGCCGGGGATTTAGCTCAATGGTTCCAGTGCCTGCCTCGCAAGCGCGCAAGGTCCCGAATTCGATCCCCAGTACCAAAAAAAAAAAAAAAAAGACTTGTCAGATTTAAAGATAGTAGTATTTACAATCTCATGATTACTTAAGTGGTACTTTATGTAGAAATTGTTTGGTTGCTTTTACCTAAACATATTAGTCACACATCCAAGAATTAAATGTGCAACTGAAAATTTAGAATTGAATGTAAAATTGAAATCAACTAGTAGAAAACTTTATAGTATCAGATTATATAGTAAGAACTCAGTAAATGTTTTGTGATTTTTTTTCTTTCTTTTTTAAAGGGAGAGATGACTTGGAGAGCTTCCAGCTTGAGATAAGTGGTTTTTTAAAAGAAATGGCTTGTCCATATTCTGTTCTTATATCAGGAGATGTTAAAGATCGTTTACAAAAGAAGGATGACTGTTTAAAACTTTTATGTAAGTTGTTTTTCATTGGACATTTAAATGTATGTATTTGATCTGTTTTTCTATATCTTTAGCTCTAAATTTATGCGTTTCATTATTGAAACATTAAACATTTTATGTATTAAAATTAAATTTTAAATATAAAGCTGTCTCAAATATTTGCATAAGTGTAGTTTAAATTCTGAGTATACCCTCTAACATGTGATACTATGCCTACTCTAGAATGCCCTGTGTTTGTGCCTTATATAATATTTTTAGTAATTTTTTTCTTCATCTAATTCATCTCTTAGCATTAAAGACTAGATGACAAAAACTTGGTGATCTTAAACTCTGGGACGTGGGCTGCTAATCAGATGATTAGATCTTGTTTTTTACTAATAGGCAGTGAATGATAGTTTAAAAACATTTATTGATCACCTACTAGGAAATACATCAGTTTAAAAGAAAGATAAAATTTGTGCTTTCAGAGTTATTTAAAGTTTTCTTCTATTTCAAAATACTTTCTTTGTTTATGCTTTTAACTATGTTACTAGAGGTTTAAACCTCTCGTCCAGATACGTATTGCCATGTTTTGCTTCAGAAGACATGAAATTCTCTGGAAAAATGTGTAAAGTACATAAAATATGAACATGTATTCTACTGAAAAGTAATCTTAAAATTATAAACATGAAAAAATGCACAGTGTCCTTCAAAATTAAAGGGTTATAAAAATACAATGACAGGATACCATTTCTCTTACCAAGTTAACAAAAGAGACCCCATACCAAATCATAATACAAGTTTGTAAGAAAACAAATTTTCATGTACTATAGGCATTAGAGATGGTAGTAGAATAACTGGTGTAGCCTCTTCGGAGGACAGCTTTTTAAGATCACAATTAAAATTCACCTGTCTTTTGACCTGGCAATTCTGTGTCTAGGAATACATACTTAGTCCCTTAAGTGTACAAAGCTTCATAAAAAGGAAGTTTATTATTACTTTAAAGTAGCAAAATGGCTAAAAATCCAAACCACACAGATGTCCATCTTTTACTTCAGATCTACTGGTTTAGAAGCTCTGAGGACAGGATCCTGACACCAGTACTTTGAAACAGTTTCCCAGATATTTGTTTTGCTCAACTGAAGTTGAAACTGCTATATTAAATTGTAGCTTTTGTGTTTGTGTGTAGTTTTAACTGGGCAAAAACAACCAAAAAAAATGTCTTTGAAGTATTGTATTGAGAAGTTAAAACAAAGCTGTAATTATTTAAGAGTTTTAAAATGTTCTTATATATGGCTTTGAAAAAAGTGAATGAAGTGATGAAAGTAAAGGTAATTGTAAACAGCCTGTGGTGTTCTTTTCTGATTTGAATTGCTCTGTCGATTAATTAGAGCTATCCTAACCTAGTGCTTTGTACGCTGGAGAGGATGCATTGTCAGTCTTACATATTCTTAAATCAGTGATTTGCTGCTGGGTCTCAGGTAGTAGATTTTAAACTCTTTGAGGGCAGATACTCTTTCTTATTTGACCTTGTATCGCTATTATCTACCCTATGCCATCTCAGAATAGGGCCTTGGTAAATGTGTGTACCTATTAAAGTAGAAATCTAGATGATTTAAAATATTAATTAAAATGGAACTGAAACCAGCTAATGGGAAATCAGTGAAGAAAATAGTCATTAATTCCTCTTTTGCCTGATGACATTAAATAAATTCATTTTAGCTTTTTATTTCAGTGCCCTTTTTTGAAGTTTACTGTGTTTTACAACTGTTGATATTACTCTTTGGTTCTGTGTAAGTTAATGCTGTTGACTTTGTTAATATTTGTTTTAAGTAAATTATTTCAGCAAAATATCCTAAATTTTTGTGCATGTGTTGACATTGATTTTATCTTTTTTATTATAGTATTTTTAAGTACAGAACTTCAAGCTCTACAGATATTACAGAAAAAGAAATGTAAAAATTCTCAATTAGATAAAAACAGTGAAATTTATCAGGAAATTCAAGCTATGTGTGATGCACTTGGTATACCCAAGCCCACCACTTCTGACATTCCACTTATGCTAAACCAAGTGGAATCAAAGGTATTGTACTTGTTTTATTTTTATTTTCCCCCCAAATTCAACTGACACATACATTCTGTATTAAAAATGAAAATATCCCCTTTAATTGTAAAGTGTACTTGTCATTTCAAGAAAAGTTTGTTTTCCTGTAAACTAAATTTTTTATTTGAATTTAACATGCTCGTGACTTCATTTGTCTCTAGCTGATATTCAGGAATGATTGCTTTTCAAATGTAAGGGTTGCTTTCCTAAGCAGGATTGTAATACATTATAATGAAAGCAGTAGAATTATCATGCAAAGTCAAAAGGCAAACTAAACTTTATTGTTCCCCTGGTAGATATTGCAGTGTGGTTTCTTTGAAGGTGAGCAGATATTTTGTTACGTGCTTAATGTGTGTTATAGTGAATGAACGAATGAGTGCTCTGATGGAGTTGATCTTGTACCTCATGGATTTTTACCTTATAATGCCATCTGGAGTATTTACCTAAAAGAGCTTCCTATGTCATTCTCTTCCTACCAAACACAAAAATTGCCTTTTCTTTCTTCTATACATAATGCGCCAAATGACATTTTATCATTGGGGAAGAAAAATTTTACTTTTGCATTTTGTTATCATTGAGGAAGAAAATTTTTCCTTATGGCTGCTCAAATGTGTCACAGCAAATATATATCATTTACTGTTTTAAATGTTGACATATAATAACTCATATAATTTTCATATCACTCATATGATTTAGACACTATTATTACAGCCTCCTTGGGAAGAAATTGAGGTAGTAAAAGATTTAATAACTTAAATAAGCAGATTTATAAGTAGTGGAAGACCTGAGGTTTGACTGTAGACAATCAGCTTTCAGAGCGTATGTTCTTAACTCACCCTATAACAGCTAATTCTTAAATTTATTAAACTAGTTTCAAATATTGAATTCCTAGAAATGAGTGTAGCTACATATAAAAAACTATAAGTGTACATTCAGAATCCCTCTTAAGTGAGGAGTTACAACTCAAAACTTTTAGTAATATATGAAATCATGGTGATTTTACAAAGCTGAGGTACTTACAGAAATGACACCTTAAGATAGTGTTAATTATATAAAATACATAGAAATCAGTAACTACATCGTTCTACAGGTAGATTTGCATCTTTCATAAAATATGTAGAAATCATATCAGTAATTGTAGCGTTGTTAAAGAATAGATTGGCTGTGAAATTAAAAGAGCTAAGCTTTGGTGCTCTCATTTGGACAGGTTCTTTCTAAGCTAATTACCTTATACCTTAGAAGATATAATTTACATGCCATTAAATTCACTCATCTTAAATGTGTAGTGCCATGTATCTTAGTGTATTTACTGGGTTATACATCAGTAAAATCTCATTTTGGAACATTCCTGGCGTGAAAAGAAATTTGTCCATTTACAGTCACCTCTGTTACCATCCTAGCTTTCCAGGTGACTAAAGAGTGCCTTCAACATTAAATAAGCTTCATGCTGCTTAAAATCTGTACTGCTGCAAAAGCAAATATAAATGCCTGATAACTTGTTTGCCAAAATAAAAGTGTTTCAAGTAATTTAGTGGCTTTATAAAAGTAGAAAAAAATTATGTGTGGTACTTGGCCTCTTTTGGTCTTAAACAGTAAACCAGAATGTGTACAAGGTATTTATTTGAGAAAAATCAATATGCTTTTAAAATATTTTAGTATCCTTCTTGAGAATTTACCAGGAAGTAAAATAGTGCCATCTTAAACTCCAAAATTATTTTAGGTAAGACACAAATTCTCATAGTAGAGCCAATTATTAGGTATTTGGTCTCTATACATTATTATTCTTGGAAAGAAGGTGCTTTATACCTTAGTATGCCTGGTACATCTTTAAAAAAGATATTTTGTATTATAATTGTACTCCTTCCTTGTGTGAGAGGTGTATTTTAAGCATTTCACTTTAACATTTTATTTACTCTCTAATGTTCAAAACAGCTCTTCAAACAAGAGTAAGATCCTTTTAAATTAGGTATGATATACTTTTTCACAATCTTTTCTGTTACTTTTAGGTGAAAGATATTCTCTCTAAAGTCCAGAAAAATCATGTGGGAAAACCACTGCTGAAAGTTGATTTAAGTCTGGAACAGGCGGTAATTCTTCCTTTTTTACCAGTTTTATATAATTAAATTAGTGCGTATGACTATATAAGCCCATTTTTGTTACTGCTGAGAATATCCAAGGCAGGCTAATTTTGCAAAGAACTTTATTTAGCTCTCAGTTTGAGGCTAAAAGTCCAGACAGCATAATGCAGGCTCTTGCAGGAACTACTCCTTGGCTGACAGTGGCTTCTACAGTCCCTGTCAAGGACACATTCCCACTTGACCTAAGGCCCTCCCCCTAGGAGCGTATTTCAACTTTCTCTGTCTGTCTGTCTGTCTGTCTGTCTATCTGTCTGTCTCTCTCTCTCTCTCTCTCTCTCTCTCTCTCTCTCTCTCACTGTGGGTGCCACCCCCACTTCCCTCAGTTCCTCTCACCTTCCAGTACTGCCACACTGAAGATCAGGCCTCCAGCACAGGAACCTTGAGGGGACAAGCAGTATGAAAACCGCAGCAGTCACTTAATTTTATAAGTAGACATCTAGATTTTGCAATGTGTATTATGTACATACTGTATTATTTCAGAGAAATGAAGTATATTGATATTCTAGAATAATACATCCTGACATTTCTTCAGTCAAATTATTAATTAAAAATACACCTGGCCAAAAATGCTTAATAGTACCCAATATGTTAGCACAGTTGTGTTTTTTTTTTTTTTGGTACCGGGGATCGAACTAGGGTCCTTGCCCCTGCACAGCTGGCAGTGGAACCACTGAGCTAAATCCCCAGCCCAACACAGTTGTGTTTTGAAAAGGATAGTACCTTGAAAGTTGATAAGATGCGAGATTATTGGTATTTTCTTTCCTTTTTGGACCATACTACTTAGCAAATTGATTTTTACTTAATATGTTAAATTGAGGATCAGATAAACATGTAATATCTTCTTAATATTATAAATGTTCTAGCGAATACTGTATTATTTAGTTTGCCATATACAGTCTCATCAGAAGATTAGAAAGTGTTCATCAAGTACACTGTCTTTAGAATCAGAAAGTACTTACTACAGGCTTATATGCAAAATGAGTGTAAAGGTAATGGTATTTGTTTCCACTTTCTTTAGGAACAACTGGAAAGAATCAATGATGCCCTTTCCAGTGAATATGAATGCCGCCGGCGGATGTTAATGAAACGATTAGATGTGACGGTGCAGTCCTTTGGATGGTCTGACAGGGCAAAGGTGAGGCTGTTTTCCCCTTTGTGTCCTGTAGGTGGTAGCCTGTGACAGCTCTTCAGGTGCTCTTGTCTGCTGTATTATTCTGCCACATTTGTACTTTATTACTAATCTGAACCACATGTCCAAGTTAACTACTGGTCATATATAATGAACCTAGTCTGGTGTAAAATCTTTTTTTGAAAACAACATAATTTCTCGTTTCTTTCACATTTGTTTAAAATTCGCATTCATTTTAAATCCATAGATTTATGCTAGAACATGCATAAAAGGGGTACCCCATGAGATAATGAGATAGCTAATGATCAAGAAATCAGGTTAAACTGGTGCCTGAGTAGGTCTTCTTAAAGGTTTCTTAAGGCTGGGTGAGAATGGAGTGTGTTACAGCTGAAATGGAGCCTGTGGGGAGAGGGCATTCCCAAGTATGAATCTCTTCAGACAGTTTTAGAGAGCTGTCTCCCATCACTTCCATTTTCTATCTTTAATCTGTACTCAGGTTTAGTCTGGGATCTTCCCTGCCCCATCCTGTGTCATAGTTGGGAAATTCTGGACAGTAAGCAGGGACAGTTGCAGGACTTATCCCATCTTTCAGGGATCATTATCCTGAGCTCCTTCCTGATCATAATATGAGAATCACTGGTTCACATAAGTTATTCAGTTTCTTTTTCTTTTTTCTTTTTTTTTAGTTATTGCAAATTAGTAAATCTGGTACTTATACTCTTTCTTGACCACAAATGCAGTTCAGGTATTACATAATTTGGATTAATTGGACAGTTCATCTGCTCCATGTTCTCTCTGGTGGGGTCACTTATGTAGTCCTATGGTTGGGTATGGTTGGCCTTTCCAGTACTTGTGCTGGAAGCTCGGTCTCCACTGTGGTAGTGTTGAAGTGGTGGAACCCTTAAGAGGTGAGACTTAAAGAGAAAAGTATGTGATTCATCCTCAAGAATGGATTGGTGCTGGTCTTGACTGAGTTTAGTCTTGGCAGGAGTGAACTTGTCCTTTCGAAAATAGATTACCAGAATAAGCAAGGCCACCCCTTGTGCTTGGTGCACGTGGCTGTTTCCCCTTCTACATCTTCACCATGCTGTAATGCAGCTAGATGGGCCCTTGCCAGGATGCTGGCTTTATGCCTTTTGGGCCCTAAAGTTAGTCAACAGAATCATGAGTCAAATAAACTTTTATAAATTACCCAGCTTCGGGTATTTTGTTACAGCAATTATTGCAGATAGCTTCATTCATCTGGTGTCTGGGCTGGAACATCCAGGATGCTTGTCTTACATGTCTGTGTCCCTGAGGCTGACTCTCTTTTTCTCTTCTTGGCTCTAACATGGTCCTGGTGTCTCTCTGTGTGTGTCTGTCTGTGTCTGTGTATTTGTCTGTCTCTCTTTATCTCTTTCCTTAGTTTTCTATGGCTACTATAATAAATTGCTCCAAATGTAGTAGTTTAATACAAATTTATTTTCTTACGGTTCTGGAAATCAGAAGTTCTAAATTGTGGATATGTTGCATTTCTCCCTGATGCTTTAGAGGAGAATTCCTTTCCTTACATTTCCTAGGTATTTCAGGTCTCAGCCTAATGTTGTGTCTCGAAAGCTAGTAGTATAGTGTGGCCCTGCAGTCTTTGTCTTGTCCTCTGTTCTCACATCTTTGTGACTTCATCTCAACATTCAAGAGTTCCTGGAATCAGGATGTCATGTCATTGGGAAGTTACTCAACCTACACATACTTCTTTTTAATTTAATTTTTTTTTTTTTGGCCTTGTATCCCTTCAGTATGATGATATGGTTTTTTCTTTTAAGAATACTTCAAGAGGGCCAGGGATTTAGCTCAGTGGTTCTGCCGCCTACCTCGCAAGCGCAGGGTCCTGAGTTCGATCCCTAGTATCAAAAAAAAGAAAAGAATACTTCAAGAAATAAGTCATGTAATGAATTTTCCCTTTTCTCTGCGTATTTTCTCTCTCAGAAACTTGTATCCTCTTAAAGTTGGGCTGTTTGTATGGCTGTCCTTGGACACTTTATTTTCTGGATCACATGGCCTGCTCTTTCATTGGGTGTTCCTCATTATGCTGTAGAAAAATCTTTAAGAACTTCCACAGAAATGGGTGCACAGGACATGATTTCTCTGGATCCTTGCATTCTGAAAATGTTTGTTTGATTAGATAAATATACAATTCTAAGCTGAAGCATTTTTCTCCAAGAATACTGAAGGCATTGCTTCATTTTTTTGTTTTTGTTTTTGGTACCAGGGGATCAAACTCAGGTCCTTGTGCTTGCGAGGCAAGCAGCAGAACCACTGAGCTAAATCCCCAGCCCCATTGCTTCATTTTTTTAAGATTTAGTGCTACTCTTAGACTGTGTACTGCACATATGTGTGAAAGAAGAGGGAGGGAGGGAGGGAAGGAAGGAAGGAAGGAAGGAAAAGAAAAGGAGGAAAGGAAAGGAAACTGTCATTTCCTGTCCTTCTGAATGACTGTTTTTCTCTGGAAGCTGTTGGGCTCTTTTTTCTCTTACAGAATTTTAAAATTTTGTAGTATGTGTTGGTTTGGATCTTTTTTTATTCATTATGCTAAACACTAGATGAATCTTTCAATCTGTAGACTTAGCTTTCATATTTTTCTTTGTTAATTTCTTTGTTTTCTTTATTTCTCTTTGAAATTCTTGTCAGGAAGATACTTGACATTCTGGATAGGTCTATGTAAGTTGCTTTGTTTACTCTGTCATTTTAAATCTCCCTTTTTGATTTACTTTCTTGAAAATGTACTCTATTTTGTACTTGATGTTGAGTTTTTGTTTCTAAAGTCATTTTTTAATTTCCATGAGATCTTTTTGATTCTTGAGTTTTCTTTTTTCATAAGTTTTTCCTTAGTTTTGAATGTACTAGCTTCTTGAATGCAGACGGAAACTTTATTATTATTTTTATTAGTACATGTTTGCAGTGCACAATGATTGCATTTATTTTGGGAAGTTGGTACATGGACACAATACATCATAATTCTTTTTTGGTTCTTTATCCCTCCCATCCTTTCTTGGTCCCTTTCCATTTGTATAAGCTTTATTTTCCTTTATTTTTATTCAGTTCTCTTTTCTACCCTTTCCCTCCCTTCCCCCTCCCTTTTCCCTCCATCTCGTTTCCCTTCCCATTTGAAAAAGATCTCCCTACTTATCTTTTATTTTACATGTTGTTTTGGGTTTCTCATGTAAGAGAAACCATGTGATATTTAAGCTTATGTGTCAATAAGTCATATTTCACTTAACATTATGATCTCAAGGTGCATCCATTTACCTACACTTGCCTCAAGTTTATTCTTTATGGCAGAGTAGTACTACATTATGTACAAATAGCATATTTTCTTTATCCATTCATCTTTTGATGGACATATAAATTGCTTCTCGGCCTTTTGGCTAAGATCAAGTGTGATGGCCGTATAGGCTATTCTTTTTTTTTTCATATAGGCTGTTCTTAAGATTTAAGTATTATGATTGTGTTGCTATAAATACAGATATGCATGTATCACTGAAATATGATGTCTTAAACTTTTTTAAGAAGATACTAAGAAGGGAAATAGCTGGGTTAAATGGAATTTCTAGTTTTGGTTTTTTGAGGAATCTCCATACTGATTTTCATAGGAGTTGTACTAGTTTGTTTACATTCCCATCAACAATGTAGAAGTATTCCTTTACCCCCTGCAGCCTCACCAGCATTTGTTATTATTTGATTTTTTTGATGATACACATTCTGTGGGGGTAAGATGGAATCTGTTTTAATTTGCATTTCTCTAATGTCCAGTGATGTTGAACATTTTTTCATATAGTTACTGGCCATTTGCACTTCTGAAAGTGTCTGTTCATTTTGCTTGCCCATTTTTTGATTGGGTCTTTTATTTTGGTGGGTCTAATTCTTTTGAGTTCTTTATATATTCTTCATGTTCTCTGAGGAATAGCTGGCAACATTTTTTTCCCATTCTGTAGATTGTCTTATCATTGTGTTCATTGTTTTCCTTTGCTGTGCACAAGCTTTTTAATATGATATGTTCCTATTTGTTGATTTGTGGTATTATTTCTTGTGCCATTGAGGTTCTTTTCAGAAAGTCCTTGTCTATGCTTATGTTAGTTTTACATATTTTATCTTCCAGCAGATTGTTTTAACATTTAGATCTTTGACCCTTTTTTATTTTAGTTTTGTACATGGTAACATGTATGGGTCTAAACTTAATCTTCTGCATGTAGATATCCAGTTTTTCCAGCACCATTTATTGAAAAGGTTATTTTTCCTCCAGGGTATATTTTTGGTCCCCTTGTCAAGATCAAATAGCTGAATATTCCTGGGATTCTTTCTACTCTCTGTTCTGTTCCATTGATCCACAAGTCTGTTTCTGTTCCAGTACCATGCTGTTTTCATCCCGGTAGCTTTGTAATGTAACTACGGATGTGGAATTGTGATGCCTCCTGGTCTGCTCTTGTTACCTAGGATTGCTTTTACTATTCTGGCTCTCTTGTTGGTTCCATATGAATTTTAGGATTGTTTTCTCTAGATCCATTAAGAATGCTGGTGGTAGATTGGGATTGCTTTCAATCTATGTATCAGTTTTGGTAGTATGACCATTTTATATTTGTTTTGTCTGCCTAGGAGCATGGGATCATCATTTCATTTTCTGATGTTCTCTTCAAGGAAACAGTTTCCCTTCAATTATCTGTTTCCTCCAATGTAATGTTTTATTTGCTAGTTTACTTTTCTTGATTACTCTTATTGGTGGGTTTCTCCAACTGTGTAGTAATTCTTAATTAACCATATTGAAGAGCAAAGCACCAAAAAACTGACTGGAAACTGCAGTCATTGATGGGGTTTATTCACATCAGGCTTCAAAACTGGCTGTTATGCTGTGGTAGTTCTAACTGCCAGCATATAAAACATCTTTTCTCTGTAGTTGCCCACACCCCTTTTTTTTTTCAAAAAAGAAAACCTCATTTTCTTATATACCTTTTTTCCTTTTGGCCAGTGGAGGAGGAGTTATAGCATGGACCCAGGATTTGTAGTAGACTGTAGTACCCACTGTAGTTGACTGATTTTCAGCTCCATACTGTTTTCTGAGATGTTGATTCCTTCTTCCCTGTATCCTTTCATTCTCGTTGCTGTAAGATGTGTACCTTGTTATTTAATGTGTTCAGTCTGACTCACTTATGTGTAAATGGTCCTTCATGTATCTTACATAGAATCTCTTTCTAAACACCTTACAGATAGACACAGAAAAGTGAAGACAACAGATTTGCTGGTGCAAATTATTATTACTTCAGATTAAAAGATTGCTGTTTGAATAATACTTAACTCAGCTTTTCAGGTGATTAAAGTCTGATTCCTGTCCATATAGTGGGACCTCGGTTCATAAACTTAATTCTTTCCATGATTCTGGTGCACTTGGATAAATTCTAGGCTGTCTGTCTATGGCATTGGAGTAATGGGTATGCAAGAAGCTTGAGTGCTCTAAGAGCTATAAAATGATAGTTGACCTCATGAAATAGTTCAGATAGGTGGGAGGTACCACATACTTGACTTCTGGAAACTTAATAGAGGTTGTACATGGGTTGGATTTCCAGTTTAACCTGATAGGGTTTTTACAAGTAGAAGGAATTTAGAAGTATGAGAAATACTTAGAAATTGGAAAGTTAGTAACTTTCCCTACTAACCTGGAGACTCAGTGTTGACTTTACGATCACAGGGAATTTCAAACAAATGAGTTTTGATATATTCTTTGAACATTTAAGGTGACATGGGTGTATGGGCATAGTGATCATTTCTTGGCTTTCAGTTGGGGTTGGAGCAAATGCTCTTAGGAAATGTCTTGGTAGTTTATCTTTTCATTTTAGTCTCTTTGCATCATTTCAGGAAAGGGAATTTGTATTTTTTTTTTTTTTCCTTAGCTTGGGACACTAAAATTTTTTCTTAGCTTTTCAAGATATATTTTGGCGTTTAAACTTTTTTCCATTGATTATATGTATATGTACCCTAAGTTTTCTAGTCTTGTTAAATTTAATAGATCTCTATCATTTCCTTTATTTTCTTTTTTTTTTTGGGTACCGGGGATCAAACTTGGGACCTTGCGCTTCTGAGGCAGACACTGGAACCACTAAGCTAAATCCCCAGCCCTTCCTTTATTTTCTTAATAGAAAAATATGCCTGATACTGACTGTCATCAAATGTTTTATAGTAGTTTAAATCCTTGCAGAATATCTTATCTTATACTTATAGCTATTGATGGACAGTGATGTTTCCTCTGATTTTCTGTTTGACCATCTTTAATTAAATTGTTGCCATCTAAATGTTTGTCCACATCTTTGATATATACCTAGAAGTAGAACTTCTTAATTAAAGAATGTGTATGATTTTGATGCCTACAACAGAGTTATTCTTCACATGTACTTGAAAATACATATATATATACACACACACATATCTTTTTATCTTATCTGTCAAGTCTGCCTCCAGAAAGTTTACACACTTTATTTTAATGCTAAATTTAATTTAAGATCAATGCAAGTTACTTTGGCCTCTGCAATTATAAGAGGTGCTCAAAGTGGTGGCCATGAGCTTCCAGACATGTATTGTTAGTATGACAAACTGCTGCTTAGGTAACCTTGGTTGTTGAGGTTGCTGCACGTGTATTTTCAATTTCTTCTCTAAGAGCTGGCAGTGCAGTGGGTTTTTTGTGATATACGACATCCTCTAAGGTCTCCCATACGAGGGTAACACTATCTGTTGAAAAAACGTCATGCTTTTTTTCTTTTCCTGAGGTGTGTATACATTTTTTGGAAGACTGTATATATATTTTATATTTATATTCATATTTATAAGTATGTGGTACTGTGGGTCAAACCCAGGGCCTTTGCATTGAGCTATAACTCCAGGGCTTTTAAAAAAATTTTTTATTTTGAGTCAGGGTCTTGGTCTGGACTTAAACTTGCTGTCCTCCTGCCTCAGCGTTCCAGAGTGCTGGGATTACAGGTGTGCACCACCATGCCGGGCTAAACTCATTTATTAGTAAGATTAATGTAGTTTGTTTTCTGTGTGATTTTGCTGGTATTGAAATAATATTATTAGTATAACTTTAAAGTTTTCTGTTTTTACTAAATGTATTGTGACCATTATCTCTTCTAAAAGTGCTACTTCAAGTTACCTTTTTAAAATTTTAAATTTCCTTTGTTTGAAATATAATTCCCATAACCTAAAATTAACCATTTAAAAGTATATAGTTTAGTACTTTTTAGCATATTCACTGTTATGTAACCATTACCCCTAATTCCACAAAATTTTCTTTACCCTAAAATGAGATAAATAGCTATTAGCAGTCATTGTCAACATTGTAGATCTCCACTCACTGGCAGCCATTTCTGTAATGTTCTTTATGTCTCTGTAGATTGAGCTGTTTTGGATATTTCATATAAAAGAATCCTGTAACATATGCCTTTGTACCTGACTTCTTTCACTTAGAATAACTTTTTCAAGGTTTTCCTGTGTTGTAACATGAATGTACTGCATTCCTTTTAATATCTTTTTTATGGCTGCATTCTATTTTACCAAATGGTGATGCTATAATTTACTTATTGTATACATTTCCCCCATATTAATTCATACCAGAAATATTTCTATAATTTTTATACATTTTATAATGTGTTATAAATTTTAAAGTATAATCTATGGTTGATTCCTTAAAAGGAAACTCTTACTCTCAATTTTGCTGGCCAAATTGTGTTCTAGAGTTGTATGAATTTAAACTTATACCAGTAAGATAAATGAAATTTTGGTTAACTTTAGCCTCTCTGATATTCAGAATATTACTAATTTTCTCACTAACTTGATGGTTGAAAAAAGACTCATTTTAGTTGGTATATTCTTGGTTTTTTTTGTTTTATTTTGTTTGATACCGGGGATTGAAGTTGGGATCTTACGCCTGTGAGGCAGGCGGCAGAACCACTGAGCTAAATCCCAGGCCCAAATTGGTATATCCTTATTATTGGTAAATTGGACTTTTTTTCATAAGCTTATCATTTGAATTTCCTTTTTTTTTCTATTTACCTCTTTTTTTTCCCTGAAGAGTCTGTTTTCCTTTCAATTGAGGTTTTTTATATATTGAGGGAGTTTCCTAGTTTTTTTATTGAAACTATATTTCTCGCTTCTGTTTTGTTTTATAACTTTTGATATATAGAAATTGTAATCTTTACAATTAGGTAAGTTTTAAAATTTAAGATAAAACTTCAAACAACTGTTAATATCTTTGGGATTCCCTTTAGTATATGTGCACCTTATTATCACTGTTGTTAGTATTTTTAAAAATAGCTAATAGTTTGGTCTAGCACCATTAAAAAAAACCTCTTCCTTTAATCTGTGATTCCTTTATCATTTATGTAAATGTTTTCATACCTTTGAGGCTCTAAATATTGATCATCTGTTGTGTTTCATCAATCCATATTTTTCTTCCAAGTTTCCACTAATTATACAAAGGTAGGATGATGGCATTTTTTTCTGTACATTTGTACTTGGGAATCAGACATTTATTAGTAAGTGAGCAGAATTTGAGATTTTTCTCCATTTAGGGATAGAAATTTAAGCTTTTAGGAAGCTTCTTCTTTTTTCATCTTCAGAAAGGGATAATGAAAATCAACCACTTTAGAAGGATGTTTCGAAAATTAAAGACATAATGTCTAACTCAACAGCGTCCTGGCACATTTAATAAGTGCTCAATAAATATTAGCTTTTAAGACTTTCATATTGTATGTTAGTACCTGAGTCTCTTCTTCAAAATCCTTTGAGTCATTTGTACATGTTTAGTTTATAGATTTAGATTGTTTTCATCCTCCCCAAAACCATTCTAATAGGATTATAGTAAATCTAAATCTATAACTTGTGATGAAATTGATAATAATAATCAATATCCCCATCCAGAAACTTGATATTTCTTATTATTCAAGTTTTCCTTTTGTTTGGCAAGACAGTATTGATGTTTGATTTTTTAAAGTCTTGTATCTGTTTCAATAAAACTACATTTATGTAGTTTAATCTCTTCATGTTACATTTCTTAGGGTTGTTGCTGTATGTATTCTTTTAGCACCTGTAGGTCTATTTTTTTATTCTACATATAAATTATCACTTTAAATTATTTACTTTATAAATTATTTACTTTTTCCCAGCTTATACATTATCTTTTTTCTTTCTGAAGATTGATGGCTATTGCTCTTTCAGTAAAATTTACTTTCGTTCATTCTTTCCTCCAACTCTTGTAATTTAGGTAAAAACAGACAGCATAGCAAGAATTTACCAGCCTAAGCGTTATGCTTTGTCACCCAAGACGACTGTTACACTGGCGCATCTACTTGCTGCTCGTGAAGATCTCTCTAAGATCATTAGGACAAGTAGTGGCACTAGTCGGGAGAAGACAGCGTGTGCCATTAATAAGGTCGGTTTCTCTCTCAGCACAGTGGAGAGTGAATTTATAATATCCTTGTTTTGTGTCTTGTGAACTAGAAAAAGAGTGGCGGAGGAGTGTGAGTCCATTGAGGCTTAATTATGTTATTTGTATATGTTCATTTGAATTTCTGTGTTCATAGATTGAATTGATGCTTTATCTGAATTTGAGGAATTTAGAGTTGTTTTCATCAGTAAGTTTAGCACAAATTTTTTTTCTTTCCAATTTGTAGCCAAAGTTTGTCAATAGACTCTGAAACAGTTGTTTCATTTACTGTCATTTGCCTCTATTTGGTATAAAAGTAAGAAGAGTACATGCTCTGTGTCATACCAATCTGGGTTCACATCCCAGCTCTGGCATTTTCTTAGAGGAGTTGCTTCCTTAGGCAAGTTTCTGGATCTCTTTGAGTTTCTCTTTCCTGACTCAGAGTATAGATCCATTTCTGCAGCAGTAGTCTTAAGCCCAAGGAGACTGAATTTTTTTTACCATATCAAAGTAGTAACAGTGATCTAGAATGTTAGTCAGCTTAATCAGTGTGTCTTTTCCATTGAGGTAGAGCCCTCCATGGCATACTTTATTACAGAAGAGTAAAAAATGAAAAGTAAGGCCTATAGGTAATTTTAAAACATTGTTTCTTGGGCTGGGACTGTAGCTAGGTGATAGAACACTTACTAGCAAGTATGAGGTCCTTGGTTGGATCCTCCCGACTACAAAAAGCAAAAACAACATTGTTTCTCCCTCAGTGTAGCTTGAGACGGGGTATTTGGCCAGAGGGATTTTTGTTTGTTTTGTGGTGCTGAGGACTGAATGCAGGGTCTGGTTCTTTCTAGCCAAATGCTGTTCACCACTAGACTACACCCTTAGTCTCCAGGATGATTGTTTTTTTAGTTACTAGTTTGCTGATTATTGCTAAATTAGGCATCACCAGTATTTGTCTCTGTGCTTCCATTTTAAATCAATCCCTCTTATCTTCTAAAAGTGTTCTTTTTTTCAGTATGTTACTTAGTATGTTCTCTTGGATTATGATCTACATCTAGTTTTAGTGGATCAAGTCTTGTGCATCTGTAATGACATTGCCCATCTCTTTACTGGTAGTCTGATTATTTGAGGGTAATCTTAGATCAGTTCTTGAGCATCATCTTCATGTGACCACCAACATGTCTAGTGAGAGACCAGTGAGAATAACAACCAGGAAAGGCTGTTTTCATGGATTGGGTAATTAGGACATTATTGCTGAGATTAGAACGCATACATACCCAGAAACTTGTTCCAGCGTGAGGTTGTACTACTTCTTTTCATGGCATTTATGACATAAATTCCTAAATACAGTTTTAATTAGTGGAGGTAGATTCCAACTGATTTATGTCATTTTGGTTGAGTAAATATTTTCCTTCTTTCCTGAAAACCACTAGCAGGATGCTATTGCATTTGCCTTGGCTATGGCAGGCTGTTGAAACCCTCCTCACAGTTACCCGTCTTTCACCCCACTTGTGGGCCTATGAAGTAGCTCCTTTCCACAGGAAGTTGGCAACTTAAACTAACCTCTTCCCTAATTTATCCTTCAAAATATTGTGAAGCACAGTTCAAGGAATACATCAGCTCTTTATTTTTCTTATACAGAATGCTTAGGACCAGAGGTGTTTCAGAATTTTTTTTCTTTTCAAATTTTGGAATATGTGCATATAATAAGGTATTTTGAGGATGGGACCCAAACTTAAGCACAAAATCTGTTCATGTTTCATATACACCTTATAATATAGCATGAAGGTAATTTTATGCCATATTTTTGTTGCATTTGTGCTTTGACTGTGACCCATCACAGGAGACCAGTTGTGGAGTTTTCTACTTTATGACATCGTTGGCACTTGACTGTTGGGTTTGGGGGCATTTCACATCTTAGATTTTAGGATTAGAGAAGCTCACCCTGTATTAGTAACTACCATTATTGAAAATAAGTGTGCTTGTTTCCCCCAAAAAGGAAATAGTTCTTTGAGAATCTTAGTATCCATTTGCAATGATACTTGGAATTATAGTTATATTCAATGTTGACCTCATTACTTCTACATTATCATATATAATTTATCACTGTTGAAATAAAATGTGCTTAGGAATATACTCATTTATTGGCTATTTTGTACTAACTCAATAACAATGGAAAAGCCCAGAGGTATTGTATAAAAGTATATGAAGTTAGGGCTGGGAATACAGCTCAGTGGCACGGCGCCTGCCTTGCAAACTCAAGGTCCCGAGTTCGATCTCCGGTACCGAAAAAAAAAAAAGAGTATATAAAGTTGAATAATATAGGGTATATAGTCTTTATGTATTGAAAATGTTTTGCTAAAATTTTAGTGTGGTGAATATTATATGTGTTACAGAATTTGTTAAATTTACGTGAGAGGAAATTAGCAAAGCCCTTAAGTTTCGGAAGTACCCAGGCTGTTTTAAAATAATACGAATTCTGAGGAATTTGTCATATTTCACGCCCACATTTTCAATATTCATACAGCCATGTCCAGTATTTTCATGTTTTTAAATATTTGACTTGTTTCTTATGAACAATAATTTTAATGTCATTTGAAGCCTTTATATAAACTTTAATTTTTAAAATATTAGAAACTGAAAGAAAATGTTCCTTCACACAGGTGCTAATGGGAAGAGTCCCTGACAGGGGAGGACGGCCGAATGAAATTGAACCCCCACCCCCTGAAATGCCCCCTTGGCAGAAGAGACAAGAAGGCGGCGGAAGGGGTGGTTGGGGTGGGGCTGGGGGAGGTGGTGGGAGAGGCGGTGGTGGAGGAGGAAGAGGAGGAGGTGGCTGGGGAGGAGGGAGGGGTGGTGGCGGAGGCTGGGGAGGAGGGGGTAGAGGGGGTTTCCAAGGCAGGGGAGATTGTGGTGGCAGAGGGGGCTACAGTGGCAGAGGCGGTGGCTACGGTGGAAGAGGCTATGGCGATCCATATGGAGGGGGCGGCAGTGGTGGGTACAGACGGTATTAAAAACGCAAATTTAGGTAGTAGTGCTGACTTCTTGTTAGATACATTAGGCATCGTGTTCTAGATAACGTACTTGAATATCATCTTTGAAGTAAGCACTATGTTAGAGTCCCTGATGATGCCATTCTTTAATATAGGTACCAAGATGGTTTGATACTTAGCAGTTGATCTCTGAGAGGGATGACTTTTTCCATATTCTGTGTACTCTCGAGCATGTTGTCTTTTTTAAAAAAAACAAAAAGATGAACAAAAATTATTTTTTAAAATGTAAATATTTATTACCATCAAATTTGGAAAATGAAAAGTATTTTATTGTCATGATTTAAGACTGTTACCTGTATTTTGTTCAGGGTTGAAACCCATAAATGACCCTACCTGTGGTAGCGAGGAATATAGACTCTTGGCTCATCTCTATTCCCGTGGATGTTTTTAATATTCACTAATTCTGTTTTTACAAAATAGGGTAGAAGACTGATAGTTGTGCTCAAGAGGTAGTTGCTGTGATTTATTTTTCATAGGGTGATTCCTCTGGTCAGGTTGCTGTTCAAGTTCCATTGGCTGAAGCCAAGGTCTTCTTTTTGCTATGCATATTTCATTTATTTTTCCAGTTGGATTTGAAACCCATATGATTTTGATTGAACAATTAAGTTAAAAATTGAGGTCAGAATGAAAGGGATAAAATGTATCAGTTTTACACGGTGTTAAAATATTCCTGTAAACTGGTCTCTTCATCATTTGCACCCTCACTTTAGATAACAAAATATTAAAAGGCAGGCTGAGTTGTATCACAGGATTATGGGAATGATTTCCAGCTTCAGTAGATCATGGGTAAGCGAAGGCATCCATTAGTAATTTGAATTCCCAGCTAAATTTGGGGAACACAGGGTTAGGGAATGGCTCTGTGTAGTTACAGGATCAAGAGTTGTGAATGTGAATTAGGGTGCTAGGGCCAGGGATGCGCTGGATTGAAATGACCTTAGTATCAAAGACTGATTCACCTTCATTTGTCACATGAAAATGAGACACTTGCCCTCTTCTCAGTTTATTTTGTGAAGACCTAAAATACAAATGCAATTTGTTGAAAATGTATAGGGTACCTATTGTGAAATGGCTTAAGAGTGAAGAATGGTATTTTTCTTAGCGTGGAGTCAAAGAAAAAGGGCTGCTCACACAGTTTTTACTCTCTGCATAGTTTGTAGCTCATAGTGGGCACTGGGTCCACACCTGTAACATAACAACTTTTTGCAATCCAGCCAACTCAACAGATAAACTGAATTGTTCCTAGCAGAAAGATAGCATTTAATGTGTGGCAGGCTAATTTTATGTTATGATAAATATGACATTAGTCTTTGAATTTCTGTAATACTTCATACCTCATAGGAGTTTAAGTTGAACACTTCTAGATTGATGCTGGAGTTGGAATCGTCCCTATTACACATTCCTGTGACTCTCTCCTGAATAAAACTCAGCCATCTAGACACTAATATCTTACTCTGCGGTAAGGCAAGATTTTCATAGTAATTTTTGATCAGTAAAAGTTTCTGCAGAACAGTTTGCTGAGTAATATCTAGAAGAGCAACAAGGTGAGTTAGGGGCTTAATGTGAAAGGTCATAATGTGAAAATGTTTGATAAATTGAGTGTAGTACACATGTAGAATATGATCAATGGCACTTCACCTCTTCCTAAAACCGGATACTTGTTTTGATTAACTTTTTTTCTTTTGACTTGGTTCTCAATTATTTTTTTTATCTTTCTGTTTCCTTCCCTTTTTATATTGTTTGTCTAGCCTGTGGTACCTAATAAAATAGCACCTATAGACATGATCTCACTAGCGGTTTCTGAATTAAAGTAGTAACTGACCTTTTTTCTTCAGGCCACATAAAGCGCCTCAGTTCTGTCCATACATAAACACCATACAGTTACTCATAAGCTCTCATCAAAAAGGAAACGGACCTTTCTTTGAATCTGGTTCCTTGTGCTCTATAGATCTTAGGAAACTTGCCTCATTAAAGATGAAAAAGTTTAAACTTTTATGTGTAAATGTGACAGATACACATATAAAAAATATTTGTGGCCAGAAAATGTTAAGAGCAATGATACTGTCTCCTTGCAAGGACCACGGGGTAGAAAGAATTCGGGCTGAGAAGCAGGGTGAGGTGAGCAGGCAGTTTAATCTTTCCTTCAGGGTCAGGTTGTTGGTGCAGTTTCATTCTTTCGTATGAAATATTATGAATTGTCAAAATGATAAATACACTCCCACCAAATGCCCCCGAACGTGTTCACAGTAGAATCTGAGTGGCTGAACTTCCCTTCCTCTTTGGTCTGGTTAACAGAAAAACTGGCTGGAGAACAAGAGAAAGTCACTCTGAATTATGCCCACACATAAATTGCTACAGGGGTTCTGTATGCTAGATTGAACAGTCTTCCACTACTGTTTCCTTCTTTAGTTGGTACTTAGCTTAGGTGGGATTGAAATTAAAGACAGAAGCCACAGAGAAATGACAGTGGTTAATTTTTGTTCTTTAATGTATTTATAGGCTTACTGGGCGGGGGTCACTATGGGAAAAGATTGGGTATTTCTGTACTGTTACTTCTTTGTTCTACAAAAGAGATAATCGAAACATTTCAGCTGAATAGGCTTTGCTTTTGCTTTCAGGAGAAAATTAATAGAACAGAAGAGTAGTCCATACATAAATAATAGTAAAATTTCAGGTGAGGTTTGTACATATTCATGCAGATGAAGAAGAAACACAAGACGTGTGTTGGGGGATCCTAATGTCTTTATCATATAAATATTACATGAAAACTTACATTAAGTATCAAAAAATTTACAATCTGTACATTTTTTTCTTGCAGTCCTTTTACATTATATACCTTGAGACAGATTCACAAATGGTCAGTGAAAAGGTGAGTCAATTAACAAAAAAAATGAGAAGTGACATTGTTAATAAAACATGATTTGTCCTTGTCTTGGGAGATAAATATCTGCCCCAAATTATTTCAAGTCAATATGTTGTTGCAATTTCTTTCTGTAGATTTCACTAGCTCCCACAGCACAACATAAGTAATAAGATAACATTTTTTTACTCTTGCTGTATTTTAAAACATGATGAAACTTTGGCCTGTATTACGCATTTCAGTGATCCATTCTGCAGTGCCTGAGATTGTCTAGCTGTGAAAATTTAATTAAGGGAACTGTGACCTTTTGAAATCCTATATATTACAGATTTATTTACATAAAAACTAGTTTGAGATCTTTATTTTGGGTGGAGAGTATGAGCAAATTTATATTCCATGATTATATTTTCTTTAAAAACTAAGCTATATACCCTTTAGTCTGTCACAGGAAAGTGAAATCTGGATTTTAACATTTGTCATAAGTTCATATTTATTTCATATAAATCTAGTTACAGTGCTAATAGAGTATATATTCCAGGCGATGGACCTAAGCAGCCCTGCTCTGAGGATTTCTGAGTTTGGACTTACAAAAAGAATAAATTTATGTGTGAAGCGATTCTTTAAAACATTTGTAAGTTCTGTGTCACTAAAACTTACTACCAAAAAGTATGCAAATGGGAAGTAATCTTTCATCAAAACTTAAATTATCTGAATCCTGTAAATAGGCAATACTTTGTATTCTTATGGAAACTTGCTGCTTTGGCTTTAAATTTGAAACTTAATTAAGATTATATTCCTGGCAGCTGGCCAATTTGTATATGAATTATAAATTAACTGGTACTGGATTTTCCAAGAATGAAAGCTAAGCTCCCCCACTAAAAGAAAGTGGCTGATAATATATTAGAGGCTGATAATAGAGTTTGTGAATTGCCCAGGCCACCAACTGAACTCATTCATTATTAACCTCCATAATAGAATACACGCAAGACTTGTTACTTGTGATTTTGTTAAATAATACAGTTTATAAGCAAGTTTTCCATTTTGTAACAAACAGAACTATATTATAAGAAACAACTGTATATTTATATAAATGTCTAAAAGTTGTGTAACTCATTTCCACATTTTATAGAGACAGGTCCAAACCACATGCATGCCTGATGTTGTATATACATACTATATACATATGTACATGCTGTCAGCTATTATTTACATTGCTGATCCAATTAGCTTATTTCTAAGTAGTATTAATAGTGAAGACAGTTTAAGACAATCAGTTCAAAACAATTTTAAAAAGTTTAAAAAAGATGAAACATGAAGTTATTCTTCACAGACTTGCTTTAAAAAACCCCATAAATTCCTAATTCTGTGCCCTGTAGACTGAACAAACATGTCTACACCTATTTTTAGCTAATTAGCAAGTCATGTGAGATGGTAACAGCTATGTTTCCTGGTACCAAATTTATTTTATGATGAGTAAGACTAGAACTAATTGATTTGCATCTGGATAATGTCACGTTTAATAGACCACTAAGCAGCCAGGCTGCATCTCTAGATGCTCACACGTGTGGCATAGTGATGAAGGAGGAGAAAGAGGCTAATTGATTAGATCTGAGGTAGTGAAGTGGGAGCCAGATTCACAAAGAATGCTGGGACTTACAAGGCCATCTACTTTTGGAATATGGGTAATTTTTCATTATCAGTAAGCTTTGTGGAACAAAGGAAATTCCTCAGTTTGTAGAAAACCTAGGGAAAAAGTCAATTCGTTTTCCAGAAATTTGTTTTAAGAATCAGTCAAGCAGGCCATATGAGACACTACCTTGTTAGGAAACTAGTTATGTTTTAGCACACTTTACAAATGTGAAGTTTTGGATCCTTCACCTGATAAAGAGAAAACAATACTGTAAATTAGGAGTCTTTAGGTTTAAAAAACAAAACAGTAAATGGCATTTCTCTGTTAAAGTACTGTTTAAAAAGACAGTCCACCTAAAGTTGCCCCGGTCTCTGTTCATCAGCTTAGGAAAGAAGAGCCCCAGTGTACTCATCCCGATTGTGCTCCTTAAGTTCCTGGCTAAGAACAGTCACTCTGTTCCATCTGTGCTAGGACGTGATTGCTTTTTTCAAGCTGAAGGGATTCTATTTTCTTCTGTGCATATTTTAGTTGGATCTTTAGGGCATCATTGTCTGCTTTCAGGGTATTTATTTCCTAAAGGGAAAGGAGAATATGCATGTTAATAAAACAGCAGTGAGTAGCAAATCAGTTACAGTATTGAGAGTACTAAAATTGATTGCCATCTCCTATTCACTATGGGTGAGAATTAAAAACTTTTTTATTAAGTTTATTTATTGGTGCATCTTAGGCAGACAGTACAGTTACATTCATCATTGGGATCTTGTACCTTTACGTGATGTATCTTGGTTCTTACTTTTTCCCCATTCCCCTGCTCTCCCTTCACCACCTCCACCCTTCCCTATTTACAAATAATGTTTCCATTTTTTTCCTTTTCTCATATTTTTTCTTTTCCCTTCTTTCTTTTCCCCTATCCCTCCCATTTCCCCTACTCCTTTAGACCTTTTCCTATTTCATGTTATCAATTATACATTTTGATCCTTATTTACACTTTTAGTTTTTCACACCAGAGAAACTATTCGGTATTTACACGGGTGTCCTATTTATTTCATTTAAGAGTATGGCCTCAATGTGCATCCACTTAGTTATAAATATGTCTAGTTTCTCATTCTTTATGGCTGAGTAGTACTCCATTTTATAAAAGAAACCACATCTTCAGTCTCCAGTTGATGGGCACTTGGGCTGCTTCCAAGCTTTAGCTATTACAAACTGTGCCGCTATAAACATGGGAGCACATATACCACTGTAGTATGATTCTTCTAATTCTTTGGGGAAGATCCCCAGCAGAGGAATTGCTGGGTCAAATGGGACTTCCAATCCTAGTTGAGGTATCTCCATACTGACTTCCACAGTGGTTGCACCAGTCTGCACTCCCACCAGCAATGGAGAAGGGTTCCTTTCTCCCCACAACCCCGACAGCATTTGTTATTTGTTGATTTCTTGATAGCAGCCATTCTTTCTGGGGTGAGGTGAAATCTCAGCATTGGTTTTCTCTGCATCTCTCGAATGACCGGTGATGTTGAACATTTTTTCATATGTTTATTTGCTATTTCTACTTTGAGAAATATCTGTTCATTTCAAATGCTCATTTTTGAATGGGGGGGGGTCTGATTTTTTTTTTTTTAGTTCTTTATATATATCTATATATTCTCGATAGTAGACCTTTGTCTGAGGAACAGCTGGTAATATTTTTCCCACATTGTAGGTTGTGTTTTAGCTCTGTTGGTGGTTTCTCTTGCAGTGCAGAAGCTTTTTAATAAGATGAGATCCCAGTTGTTGATTCTTTGTGCTAGTTCCCATTCTACTGAGATTTTGTTCATAAAGTCTTTTCCTATGCCAGTGTCTTCAAGAGTTTTACCTAACTTATCTTCCAGTAAGTTTAGTGTTTCTGTTTTAATATTTAGATCTTTAATCCACTTGGATTTTAGTTTAGTGCATGGCGACAAATAAGGGTCTAGTTTTAATCTTTGGGAAGTTGAAATCCAGTTTTTCCAACACCATTTATTAAAGAGGCTATGAGGATGTAGTGAAGATAGTTGGCTCCTTTGTCAAAGATGAGGTAGCTGAGTATGTCTGAAGTTGTTTCTGCATCTTCTAATCTATTTCAGTGATCCTCAGGTCTGTTTCTTTGCCAGTACCATGCTGTTTTTATCACAGTGGCTTTGTAGTATAGTTTCAAGTTGGGGGGTTGTGATATCCCCTGCCATGACTCTTGTTGCCTAGAATTGCTTTTGCTATTCTAAGTCTGTTCTGGTTCCAGATGAACTTTTCCGATTGTTTTCTCTACTTCTGTGAAATATGCTTTTGGGATTTCAATTGAGATTGCATTGAATCCGTCCAGACATTTTGGAAGTATGGGCATTTTCACTATATTGGTTCTTTCTACCCAGGAACAGGGGATGTCTTTCCATTTTTGTATATCCTCTTCAATCTCTTTTTTTCAGAGTGCTGTAGTTCTCAATGTAGAGGTCTTTTGCTTCCTTCGTTAGATGGATTCCTAAATATTTCATTTTTTTGGATGCTATTGTGAAAGGAATTGTTTCCCTAATTTCTCTCTCAGTGAGTCTGTTATTTGTGTACAAGAAAGCTATTGATTTTTGAGTGTTGACCTTGTATCCAGCTACTCTACTGAATCTGTCAGTTAAGTCTAGAAGTCTTTTGGCAGAGTTTTTTGGGTTTTCTATGTAGATAAAAACTATTTTCAAAATAGTTTTTTTTTTGCACTGAATAGAAAATAACATGTTAAGTATCAAACGAGCATGAGCAAACAGCAGTTTGTCTGTTATCATTTCACAGATGTAAGTGGCTTGCAGGCAGAATAAACCATTCCTGGCCAGTGGGTAGAGGATGATGAAACCTTTGGGTATTGTGTAGCAGATCTTAACTTGGCATAAACAGAGTCTGGTCAGGTCTGCGCCAAGAAAGTAGTGCTTGAAAATTCTGTAATATGAGATGCTATAGTACACTTAACCTGTTTTCCTACCAAGTCATTGAAAATTAATGTACACTTTAGATAGATTTTTATCCTATGCCCATAAACTGAGATTTAGTTATCCAATTTGCAGTAATTATACAGCCATCAGTTGATTTCCTGGCTTCTGATTTTGAGGCCAGTGTTCCTACATTATGTAACATTAATTACACCAAAAATGTATGGGCAGTGTCTGGATAATTGTAGACACATTGGGGTGTTCCTTAGTTTGAATTATCTGTTGCTCTCTATTAGCTATCATATAATACTGAGCACTTGTTGTGTGCCTGGTGCTTTGTTACATGACAATAAAATATCTTAGTCTTCACATGTATCTTGAAAATCAATAATTTTATAGAAGCAGAAAATGTTGCCATATAATTTCAGACTGGATTTGAACCCTGGTATATATATCTGATCCAAGAGCTATTGTTTGGTTTTTCTTTTGTCCTATGCTGATTCAGGGGTACACATACACCAAAATAACATGTATATTTATACTTCATAATTTTTTTATTACATTCTAAATACTGGTTTAATTTGACGAGTTATGGCTAGGACTGTTGAATTACAGACAAGTCAAAGATTTTACATAATTGAAAAGTGGGACACACTGTTTCTTTAAAATGTATATAGTGAATTTTAGTTTTTAGGTCTGTTTGACATTGATAAAAATAAAAGAGGCAACTGGGAAAAAGGTCTACTGGCCTGGTATTACTGGGTAGGAATTATTCTCGATTTAATTCATTTGAAATCTTTGTCATCTGCTTCTCACAGCATTACTGCTAACTGCATTTTTCCCTTTTCAAAATCATGTAAAACTTCAGAATTTGAAACCTTAGTGTGGAATCCTAACCCTGTATTTACAGAAGATCAATTAGGTCACAGACTGTAATAGCTGGCATCAGAACATCTGGTATTGGAAAATGCCTCCAAAGTCCTTTCTCTTTAACCAAACTCATTTTTCAGTGTTTCTTTCATTTTTCTTAAAAGTTGTCTTTGACAGTTTTACCCTTAAAGGAAAGGGGCTTTATGTAACCCAAGTTTTACCATCCTCTGATTGACTTCTTTCCTAAATCATGTATTAAAATTATTTAGAGCAAGACTTTTCATATGTTCATTTCAAGCACGAATTCGAGTTTAAATACTAGCTTTTGTCTTCAAATGTTTCTCTAACTCCATACCTGGGAGTCTGACGGGGAGGGTGCAGTGTTGGGAACAATGTGGGGATCCTGAGGCCTTGTGGGCAGTTCTGTTGTGTAGGAGGTGGAATTGTATGAGGAGTTGTAGGCAGGTGGACACTTGAGTTACATGTTCCTACTGAGAACCTCCACACACAGTACCAACCTTGCTTTGGGAAAAGGCAGGCAGGCAGGCATTCTTCTCCTTTGTAAAGTGGATGTTAATGTTAAAACAATATACCCTTGCTTTCTTGTCTCTAAAATGGCTTAAGTTGTCTAATGGGTAACGTTATTCCTCTGTCCCTCCCTCTGTTTTGGTTTTTAAATTATTCTTTTCCTTTACCCAGCCAGTAATCAACTTGATTTGAACCTTCTCTGGGTTTAGTCCATGTGTTCTTCTCTGTTTCGCTCCACTTTGCTAAGAGAGTCTGGATAAAAGGGCAAGTAAAAGGAAGGTACCTGTTCCAGCTCTTGATACGATGGGAGTCTGAGATGACGGAGCTCTTCTTTTGATTTTAGGAGAGACTCTTTATTCTCCCACTTGACAAACGCCCGCTTTCTGACCAAGACAGGACTGGGACATGGAGATGTGGGACTGGGAAGTACATAAAGGGTATCCTGGGCTGTCTTCCTTGGAGAGGACAGCACAAAGTGACCAGAAGGACCCTCACTGCCAAGCCAAGGCAGAGATTCGGTCTGTGTGGTCTTGTGGGCAACAGTCCTCTTCAGCCGAACAGAAATCTTCTGTGAGGATACTCCCATCAGCACGATGGTCCGATCCTTACTCTCCTCACTGTGTTCCACAGCCTCTCCATTTAGGAATGTAAAAGATCCTTCCTCGGGTGCTGTGGGGAGACACATAAGATATTGTACTCAGAAAAGCAAACACTCAACATTCTCACGTTAATTTTACATGAGACCTTACTGTTACAGGAGTTGCACATCTTCAAATAGCACTCATTTTCAGGCACCCCAGGTCAAGAGTGAGCAAACGCTGAAATCCAGGGATTTTGATGGTATTAGAATGTGTCCAAAAAAGGCATCTTTTTGCGTTTGTGCAAAGGTTGCCTAGAGGGTTACAATTTCTACAGACAAGTTCTAATTCCTGCCTCAACTTTGCAGATTTTCACCAATTAAGGGGAGCAAGATCAATATGTAGAGGAAAATGTTCCATAAATTACTTTCTGTGGACTTAGGTTTGGAAGCTCTTACTACTCAAGTCTCTGTCTTGATACAAACAAGTGCCCTCTGGTGGATAGTAGGAACTGTCGGACCCACTTGTATAATGGGTACAGCTTCCAACTTCGGAAGAGTGTTCCAAAACGTACTGCCCTTGAGTGACACTGACCGGGGGAAAGGACAGGTGGGTGAGTCAGTGGTTTTGTTCCTAATACCTCTGCCCATGATCCGGCCTGGAAATGTTAACCATAGGAGTAATTTCCTAGAAACATAGAGTAAGAGCAGATGGATGTGAGATGGGTAGTAGGGTTTAAGATTAACAGTAGGTCATCTAAGCTTTCTGTTTGCAAAAACTTGGCATAATTCTCAGCTCTTTGAAAAATCACTAAACACAACGTTTAATAATAAACAGATTATGTGTTTACTTCATTAAATGGGGATGAAAAAATATCAGAGTGTGGAGAATGAAATGATTATGTAAGAGAAAGTACTTTTTAAAAAGTGCATTTAGAGTAAAATTTTTTCCTAATAAATTTTCTAGCTAAGAGATTGGATTGTTAGTTGAAATGGCTTAATAAAACAAAAATTTCTAAGTAACATCTATAACTAGAATCCATAGTTCTAATTATGTACTGGAAATCTTTTTTTGTTTTTTTTTTTTAATGGTAGCAAAGTTTTATTGAAGGTAGGAAAAGAAACTGGCTCTGCAGAGCAAGTTTGGCCAAGTCAAAGTAGGAAAAAAACTTACACCCTACAGCGTGAGGTGGACCATCATGCAAGAGCAAACACAGTGGCCTGAACTATAGATCTTATACTTGAACTTCACTGAATTTTTCCCAAGGGGAACATGATTTTTAAATTATCATTTAATATTTATCCAAATAAAGCTGAAAATTATCACTTATTTCAAGTACTAGAATAATTAAACTGTTACATTCACTCTAAATTACATTATCTTTTTGGATGAGAATGATTTTTTTGCATCTCTATTTTCTAATTTTTAAAATTAACATATTAAACATACCCATTACTGGGATTTCATGGGCCATTTGGTTATTTGCACACATTGCACTGATTGATTTCCCTTCTCTCTGAGACCCTTCCCAGTTCCTAGTCTTCACTATCCTACTTTCAGGCTGACTTTGTAAGTTTCCACATAGGATAGGCAGCATGACTTGTCTGTGTCTGGCTTATTTTATTTAAAATGATGTCTTCCAATTCCATCTTTTTTTGCTGCGGAGGACAGGATTTCATTTTTGTTTATGGCTTAATAATACTCCACTGTCTATATATGCCATATTTATCCCTTCACCAATGTGAACATAGGCTGATTCCATATCTTAGCTATTTATGAATACTGCCGCACTAAACATGGGTATACAGGTTTCATTTGCAAGCTTCATTTTCTTTGGCTTTATATCCGAGAATGGGAGAATTGGGTCATCTGGTAGTTCCATTTTTAGAGGAACTCCATACTATTTTCCACAGTGGCTATATTAGTTTACATTCCTATCAGTAGTTACATGGTTCCTTTTCCTCTGTATCCAGTTATTTTTCTTTTATAGCACCCATTCTAACTGGGATAAGATGATACTGCTTTGTAGTTTGGATTGGCAGTTCTCTGATGGCCAAGATTTTAAGTATGTTTTCATGTATTTATTGACTAATTCTTGTGAGAAGTGTTTATTTAGATCATTTGCCCATTTTTAATTGTATTACATTTTTTTTTTCCCCCCATAGTTCCCAGGGTTTGAACCCAGGACCTTTTCACTGAGCTATAGCCTCAGCCTTTTTATAACTTCTAAATTTTCAGACAGGGCCTTGCTTAGACCTCTAGCCTGAGTATGAATTTGTGATCCTCCTACCCCACCTCCCAGAGGTTTGGAATTACAGGTATGTGTGTACCACCATATTTGGCTCTTGTTTTTGTTGTTTTTGAGTTTATATTCTAGATATTTTGTCAGATAAATAGCTGGTAAATATTTTCTTCCATTCTATGTAGTTACCTCTTCTCTGTGTTGATTGTTTTGCTGTGCAGGAGCTTTCTATTTGATGTAACTCCCATTTGTCACTTTTTGCTTTTGTTACCTATGCTTTCGAAGTCCTGTCCAAAAAATCATTGCTTGTACCAATGTCTTGCAGTGTTTTCCCTGTGTTCAGTAGTTTCAGAGTTTTAGGTTTTACATTAAGGTCTGTGATTTGTTTTGAATTGATTTTTGTTCAGGGTGAGAGATAAGGGGCTGGGTTTCAGTCTCACTCACACAGGTAGCCACTTTTCTCATCACCATTTGTCGGAGAGGCTGTACTTTCCCCAATATATATATTTTTAGAATCAGATAGCTATAGCTACGTGGGTTTATTTCTGGATTTTAAAAGTTCTGTTCCATTTTATTCTGTGTCTGTTGTCATGCCAGTGCCATGCTATTTTGGTGACCATGGCTCTGTCGTACATCTTGAAGTCTAGTATTGTGATTCCTCCAGTTGTGCTCTTTTTACTAAAAAGTTGTCTTGTGAGTCCGTATGAATTTTCATTTCTTCGCCCTACTTTTGTGAAGAATGTCATGGGCACTGGATGGAGATTGTACTGAACATGTAGATCTGTGGTAGTACAGTGGACATTTCAACAACTGTTCTAATCCCTGTATAAGAGAGATATCCCTGTCCTTTAGGGTCCTCGTTGGTGTTTTATAACTTCCATTGTAGAGGTCTTTTACTTTATCCATTATGTATATTCCTAGGTGTGGGTGTATATGTGTATCTACTGTGAATGGGATTGTTACCATGACTTCTGTCTAGCAACTTTATTATTGGTGTATAGAAAAGCCACTGATACTGTATTCTTTCATTTTACTGCAGTAGTTTATCAGTTTTAATAGTATTGGTTGAGTCTTTGGGTGTTTCTATGTATGGAATCTTACCTGTAAGCAGAGATAATTTTATTTCTTCCTCTTCTATTTGAATGCCTTTTATTTCTAACTCTTGCCTCACTGCTCTGGCTAAAACTTATAGTAATGTGTTGTACAAGAGCAGCAAGAGTGGATACCTTTGCCTTCCTGATCTTAAGAGAAAATGTTGTCAGTTTTTCCTTATTCAGTATAAAGCTGGCTGTGAGTCTGTCATAAATAGCTTTTATTATGTTGAGGTATGGTCCTTCTATATCTAATTTGTTCAGGCCTTTTTTAATGAAGGGATACTGAAATTTACCTAATGATTTTTCTGTATCTACTGAGATGATCATATTTTTATTCATCATCTGTTTATGTAATGTATTACAAGTTACACCTGTATGTTTAACCATCCTTGCATACCAGGAATGAAATTAATTTGATCATGGTGCATAATCTTTCTGATGTGAGTACAACTTGCAAACATTTTGTTGAGTTTGTATCTACGTTCATCAAGGATAGTGGTCTATAGTTTTCTTTTTCTGTTGTGTCCTTGTCAGATTTTGGGAACAAGTTAAAAGGTGGCCTGATGAAATGAGTTTGGAAAAGTTCTCTCCCTTTCAATTCAATGAAAACTTTGAAAAGTATTAGTATTACTTAACTTTCTTTAGAAATGTGGTAAAATTCACCAGTGGAATCATTGGTCCTCGGCTTTTCTTTGTTGAGTGACATAGTATCATTTTTTCAAATCTTTTTTTCTTTTAAGTAGAGTCTCCCTTTGTAGTATAGGCTGGCCTCGAACTTGCAGTGATCCTTTTTTTTTTTTTTTTTTGGTACCAGGGATCATACTTGGGACTTTGTGCTTGCGAGGCAGGTGCTGGAACCACTGAGCTAAATCCCCAGCCCTACAGTGATCCTTCTGCCTCAGCCCTCCCCAGTATTGGGATTATAGGCATGTGCCACCATGCCCGACCAGACCCCATGTATTCTTAAATTTCTCTTGTGATTTATAGTTTCATCTCATTGTGATTAGAAAAGATACAGGAAATGCCTCATTTAATTTGTTTTGTGGCCTACAATTTGGTTTGTTCTATAGAAAATTCCACATGCTGATGAAAAGAATGTGTATTATATGCAGTTAGTGGATTGAATGTTTATTAAGTCCATTTGTTCTATAGTTTAATCCTGATGTTTGTAACTCTTTTTTGGGGTGTCTGGATTATCTGTCTATGAATGAGAGAGCAGGGTTTTGAAATTTGTCACTGTTAACTGTATTGGAACTTATCTCTTGCCTTTGGTGTAACTGTTTTATAAAATTGGAATTCTGATATTACTGCAAGTAGATTTACAATCATATCTTATTGATGAGTTGATCCCTTGATCATTATATAATGATGATCTTTGTTTCACAGTTTTTGTCTCAAGTCTATTTTGTCAGCTATCAGAATAGCTGCTCTTGCTCACTTTAGGATTCCTTTTGCTTGGAATCTCATTTTCCATCCTTTCAGTCTGTTTGCCTGTGAAGTGAGTTTTTATTGTAGGCAGCATATTGTTGTGTTTTTTTTTAATCCACGCATCCAACCTGAATTACATTACATTCAAGGTTATAACTGAAAAGTATGGATTTAATGGCTGTCAGTTTTTTGAACATTCTTTGTTCTTTTCTTCCTCTCTTAATCACCTGTGTGATATGGTAGTTTACAGTACTAATAATGTTTGGTTCTTTTCTGTTTCATGTCTGTGTATCTGCTCTTCTAGTGGGATTCGTGTTTTCACATGCTGTTGTGGTAGTTACCTTTCTTTCACTTTTGGATATAGGACTCTGTAAAGCATCTTCTGTAAGGATGGTCTTTTGGTCCTGAATTCCCAGAGTTTTTGCTTATCTTGGAAGTTCTTTATTTCTCCCTCATTTGTGAAAGACAGCCTTTGTGGATAATAGTAATCTTGGTTGGCTTTTAGGCATTTAGTTTCTTTCAAGACTTGGAATACATCATTTGATTCCCTCCTGGCCCACAGGGTTTCTGTTGAGAAATCTTCTGTGGTCTAAAGAGGTTGCCCTTAAATGTGACTTGGTGCTTTTCTCTTGAAAATTCAAAAACAATTTTTTTTCTATACTTTTCAGTTTGACTGTACTATGTCATGAAGGAAGTTCTTTTCTAGTCTTGTCTATTGGGTTCTAAAAGCCTCCTCTACATGGATGTCCATGCCTTTCTCAAGATTAGGGAAGTTTTCTGGTGTTATTTCATTGAGTAGGTTTTCTATGCCTTTCTTAACCTTTATTTCCTCACCTTCAGGTATTCCAGCGATGTAGGTAATTAATCATTTAGTGGTGTTCCAAAAATAACAAATGCTGTCATTTTTTTTTGTCTAAATGTGTCATTTCGAAAGACTTATCTTCAAATTCCAGTTCTTTCTTCTGCCTCATGTAGTCCACTGTTCAAGTTCTCAGCCAAGTTTTTTAAATGAATTACTGAACTTTTCATTTCCAAGACTTCTGTTTGGTTCTTTTTAAAAATATCTACCTCTTTGCTCAATTTCTCATTTATATTCTGCATTGTGTTCCTAATTCACTTAACTGTTTCTTTGCATTCTCTTGGATCTCCCTGATTTGAGAAAATTATTCTTTTGAAGATACTAGGTATTTTAGTATCTTTGCTGTCACCCGAGAGTTATGCTCTTTTGCAGGTGTCACATTACTTTTTCATATTTCTTGTGCCCACACTGAGATTTGCTCATTTCATGGCAGGGTCGTGTCTTGGGTTATCAGTTTGTTACACAACGTTGGCTTTGTTTTTAGCTGGGCACTGCAGTGGAATTTCCTCACACATCTCTGGCTGTGATAGTGAGTTTAGGTGCAACGTGTGCTGTGTTGGAGTCAGAGAGAACACTGTCCCTGTAGGTCATGCAAGGGTGGGGACACTTTCATAGTTCAGGCAGATATGTAGGCAGCAGGGTGTGTGAGTGTACTCAGTGTTCCTTTTCCAGTGGGTATGGTGGCCCCTACCAGGTGCTGACGTTGGCCTGTGACGTATAAGGGTCTGTGGCACTGCACAAGGCGTGGTAAAAGGAGCACTTCTCTGACTAGACAGTAGTGAGAGTTTGGAGTGCCAGGAGTGGAGGGCAGGGATCACAGCACCTCTCTATTAGCAGCGCCTAGTAAGACCAGGAGCAAGGGCGCTGGTAGTGGGAATCACATAGTGTGGGTGCAGCAGGATGTGTCTTGTTCCTCTGTGTTGCTGCTGTGGACGGTGGGTCCTCAGGTCCCCAAGCTCTGTGTGTGCCTTGGGCTGTGACAACAGCTAGCCCCCTTCCCCAAAGCTGTAGTGTCCACAGGAGCAGGAGGAATGGCTTGTGTCTGGAGCTGAGCAACATGCCTCTTGGGGCTTTCCTTGGCTGTGCATGCCCAGGGACAGGAGCAGGGCCAGGGTGACAGCTGGGGATCCCCCTGCCTCTTTCATCTGTAGTTACTGCAGGGAGTTGGTGGGAATGCAGCTAAGTTCCTCTCTTGCTGTGTGCACCCTGGGGTAGGGTGACAGCCAGAGCTTTTCTCTGAACTTCAGCTGAAGTCCCAGGGAGCACTCATAACTTAATGCTTCCCTTCCTTTGTGATTTCACTGAACTTCCACCTTTTGCATGAAGTCTTTGCCAGCAGGCCCAGGGCGTGGTCTTTCTGTAGCCTATCTGGCTTGTAGAACATACCCTCCTGCATTGTTTCTAACCAGCTCCCTGTTTATTACCTTTTCCCCTAACTAGAAAGAGGCAGACCTTTTTTCTTCCTGAGTGTCTCAATAATACTTAAATTTCATTTCTTTATTATACTGTTATTTGAGTGTATATTTACGCACATCTGTTTGATCTCTGGCCTTAAACTCACTATGTAACTCATGGTGGCCTTGAACTCATGATCCTTCTGCCTCAGCCTCCTGGGCGCTGAGATTATAGGCCTACATCACTGTGGCCAGGTCAATTTTCTCTTGATTGTTAATCTGCAAGCTTGCATTTCGTAGGAGTTCTCCTCCTCTTCCTTTCTGTATTTACCACTGTGTTTCTAAAATTTTGACAGTTATCTCCACTTGGCCTCTCAGGATCCCCAGTCTAGAACCTGGTTGTAAAATAATGGCTTAGGACCCCTCTCCTGGAAGAAAATCAGTGGCATCACAGGTCGTCATTCATCAGTGACTGTATACTTCTTGCTGCTAGCTGTGACAGTAATGACTTTTTCAGGATCCTTCATCAATGATAAGCACCGAGTGGTTCTGGTCACCTTTCATGCATAGTTGGTTTCTGTTACTGTACAGAAATCAGATTCTTGGTGCGTGCTTCTGGAAATGGAGTCATGAAGCTGTGGATTGAGATGTTAATCTTTGGTTCTGAATGCAGCTATGCCTTTTAATATGCTGTCTATATACCATATATTGTGTATGTTATATGGACACAAATGCATACTCTCCCTTATCACTGTTTTGAGTTGGGGATGGAGTAGGACAATTTTTAATTTTAGGCATGATCGTGGCAATAGTCAGTATCTGTACTTGGTGTAGGTGCTCAATGTACATGTGGCTGATTTTTAGACCTAACTTAAACTATTATTCCAGCACCTTTAGGTCAGAGGCAGAGGCAGGAATAGAGGTCAGGGTTAACTCAGACATAGATACATGTGGTTATCTTTCCTGCCCCCAATTTTGCCCTTCTCTCTCTACTGAACATTCCCAGTGCCTACTTACCGTGGAGCAGATCTCTGGCTCCCAGTGAGCAAAGGTTAGATGTTGGTGCCACTGAGGTGGTGTTCTCCATGGGAGCTGCTGGGTTTTTGGTTCGCTTCTTGCACTCAAACACCACCAAATCTTTGCATTGTTTGTGGCAGTTCATCCCACAGTCTGTGGACAAGACACTTTGGTAGGAACTCTTACCAATTCATACAATACTCTCTTGTCAGACATATCTGTGCAATCCTCTAGAGCTAAGCTCACCAAACATTCCCAGTGAACCTAGCCCTCTCCTCACTTGGCAAACCTGTATCTCTCAGGCTGGTCTTAACCCTTACTGAGTCTTGGAACCTGAAGGAACATCTGCTATTCCAGAGGGAAGAGAGGGTATCCTGGTCATCCGGTACACTGCCCTACTCTAGGGAGACCCTCTGGAAGCACCCAGCTGCTAGACCTTACTTTTTCTTCCTTGCAGAAGTCTCCTTTCCCGTGCTCCTTAATCGTCCTAGTCACAAGGAAGGACACATATCCTCAGGAATCACTGATAAAAGGAAAGCTGACCAAGATCTTTAGTAATCATGTATCTTCTGTTTTAGAACTGATTCAGTCCTGTTCACTGTCGTGACTACAAGAGCTCAGTCTCCTACAAGCTATCTCTATTTCAAAGGCAACCAAGGTAGAAAGAAGCTCTTGGAAACTGCGGCACTGGCCACTCAGGCTTCCCTCTCTCTGTGCAGTATCAGTCACTCTCGGTCTTCTTGGGAAGCCAGTATGGAGATGAGGCTCTGAAGTCTGCCTAGAAGTTGTGGACTGAATGGACAACTACAGTGGATGAAAACTTTATGAAGAGAGCCCCTCAGAACAGGGAAAGCAATGCAATGGACAGTGCTTACTTACCTTTACATCGATATCCTTGTTTGATCACGCCCCAGAGCTATGAGACAAGACAGAAGAATGCACATGTCATTATCTGGTGTGAGGCTCCGCTCATTCCATTCTCTAGCGCAAGTTTATCTCTTGTATGTCTTGTCCCGACCTTTAACTAAAAACAGAACATTTGTGGCTACCACAGTCAAATGTTCTCCAGAAGCTCACTGTAGTGACTTTATGACCAGGCTTTGTGTAGACCCGAAATGGATGAATTATACCACTGACAGATAAGCCTACAGAGTCTCTGGTCAGGAACTTGTGTTCAGCAAAACTGTTGGTTTCAGTGAGACAGGAGGGTCAAAGCTGAGGTGATCCCTTCAAGACAGTGTCTTCTGAAAAGGGAAAGGAGGGTATCTCACAATTTTTTTTTCTAACATTGAAACAGTGTAGGAATGTAATCCAGAATTCAACATTTCTGTACTATTTACACCAGGCCTAAAGTACGGGGGTGGGGGTGGGGGTGGGGGATCAGGAATAAATGAGGCAAAAGAATGCACACACTTTAGGGCCAGGTCCTTCTAGGTGTGTGCTGGGCTCTGAGCTGGGATGAATGCACAAAGATTATGAGGTCTGTGCCCTTCCTACTATCACTGGCCTGTACTCCTCAGTTCCCCCCGATGCACTCCAAGGACAACTTACAAATCCAGCACAGTTGTCACAGAAAGTGGGCTTCAGGTAGGTGGTCTCTTGGAAGCTGTGAGGAAATCCCAGCCCCAGCTTGGAGTAGATGGAGCTGGCCCTCATGAAGTAGGCCGTGATCTCATCCCTGCTGATGAGGCCTTCCCTGCCAGCAAACGACAGGGAGGACGTGAACGTGCTGCAGTCCACGCTCAGAGCCTCCCGTGAGCGTGCCTCACAGGAGGGTCACAGCACAGCGCATAAAAGGGGGGGCGGCAGCATCACTCGGTCCCGGGGTGTCCTTCAGCCTGATTGGACCACTATCTACAAGACTTGAAATGATGTGAGATTTGTGTATAGGGAGGGAAATACGTATGCTACAGGTTCTAACTTTAGAGAGTACATGACTAGGTCCCACTAGCCATACGTTTGATTTCTGATAGAGCATTAAAATAGAATGTATATAATTTTAAGTATAGTAAGTATGCAAAGGATTGACATTATTTTCCATAATCTGTAAGGACAAAGCAAGAACGAAGACTAAACTTATTTGTAGTTGGCTGTTTCCTAAGTTGGCAGATTTTTGGAATCTTCAGTTGTGAGCTCTTAAAAAGCATGTAAATGTCACGGTCTCTTGTCCAAACTAAAGGCAGGGAGGCCTTCACCTGATGACTATAAAGATCTGTACTTAAAATTCTTGTAGTGATATATCTGTAGCTCTGTTCTCACCAATGGGCTCATAACCACTCATTCCTGTACACAAATCCTCACCTGTCTTTGTCCATAACACAGAAGGAAAACGGGAAACTTGCAGCAATCTTTTCAAATTCCTCCTGAGAAATGTATCCATCCTGGTCGTGATCATAGTTCTTAAAGACGGACTGAAAAAGGAGTTGTTAGGGTGATTACAAAGGAGAAACCAGTGTTTTCTTTCTTTAGCTAAGACAAAGGGGCTGGGGCAGATAGGTATAGGCCTCTTAAAGCCTGAATGAGGAGAACATGGGAGCGTGCTCCTTGAGCTGTTGCAGATGTGGCAGGTCACGCCCCAGGTGTCCGTACCTTCAACCGTCAGCACATGATGTGCCACCCCAGGCTGTGCCTACTGCAGACCACTGCAGAGAGGTCTGCCCTTCTGTTATTCAGCTCAGATTGCACCTCCTCTGGGAAACTTGTGAACAGCCCATGTCCTCTGCTCCCGTTTCTGCTTAGTCTTCTGTTGTCACCCGAGAACAGCCCGCAACAATAAAGGCTCCAACTATGCAAATGTATACACTCTTCTCGGCAGGTAGCATAGGGAATTGAATCCAGCAGTGCTCCCAATATACCCTTCTGCCTCCACTCAGCAGTTTTTAAACAAATGATCTGCTAGGCCTTTAAGACCAGTCAAACCTGCCCCATATGAGACCAGAAAAGAGTTTTGCCAAACTAGTTTCTGAACTATTTGCAGCCACAGTGTGAAAAGTGGTTCCTCGGGGAGCGAGTCTCAACTTTCTCACACGTTTCTGCTGCTGTGCTTCCCACCCCACGCTAGCAGTGCCAGCCTTCTGTCTCCCAAACAGCTGTACTCACATCCACCATCCTCTGCACGTGTTTGCTGATGGTCTTTGGGTCGGGTTTGGGTGAGACTCCAGAGGCCCAGTCCACTACTACCGGTGGCTTGGAAGGTGTTAGTGGCTAAAATGAAATGTGAAGAGAAACCTTGTGAATGTGATGTAGTATTGTAACTGACAGCTCCTTCCCTTCCCAGAACCTGACAGTCACATCTGCAGGTAACTCCGACTGCAGTGGCAGCACACACACACAGTGGGAATCTATAATACTGGCTAACATAGGTGATGTGCTTCTCTTTCCAAAGTCTTCACATACATGATTTCCGGCTCCAGATACTTTAAAATTCTCAGTGTGCCTGGGCTTCAGTTCCCTCTCCATTAAACCTCTTGTTAGAGCTATCTACAAAGAGTAAAATGGGCCATTTAAATGAAATGTCTCCTATGTTCATTCTCTGGTCACTTTTTAGTTTTAAAACTGTCTTGCTATGCACCTCAGGCTGGCCTCAAACTTGTGGCAACCCTGCCTCAGGCTCCCACATGCTGGAATTACAGGCATGTGCCACCATGCCTGGCCTCTGGTCACTTTTCAGTAGAGGTAGCTGAGGAAAAAACTCCTTAAAAGGCAAAGATACACAAGAAAAAAATTGAATGTTTCACAAGTTGAGACAGAATCCATTTTGAATATTTGAAATTTTGCCCAAATTAAAATCTCTTCTAAAGACAGGAGCAGTTAACCTTTTCATGGGAATGCTTCTAGCAGGCTGGGAATTTAACACGCCAATATTTCCAGTGAACCTCTTTCATTACAACAGGAAGCTAAAACTTGTACTTTCAGTACAGAGGCAATGAAACTTAGCCATGTGAATGGATCAGCTGGATGTCCTATCGGCAAGCACCCCTTCCCTGGAGTACCACTTGTTTTGGGTTGGGAAGCTTCCCAGAAGACTCAGTGGATTTCACTTGCCTGTAGGGAAGGCAGGGACAGATAACCTGTGAAGTTCCTACTGAGAATAGCACCAGGACCAGGTGCTATTTTGAGAACTGAGCAGAAGAGGACAGAAGAACCGGCAGACTGCTCTTTTCAACCCAGAGCATCACAAGATAATGGGGCTTTTCTACCAACCAAAGTGGAAATCTTCAGAAGTGTAGTTTTTAGTTAGTGTGCACGTTTTTCCTCATTAGTATCAAAAATCATAAAAAGAAACAACTTACATGGGGAGAATTTTTAACAGGCGGGCGTTGCCACTCTGGTTCATAATACTGTCTCCCTTCTTGATTCTACCACCCCTGACACTCTCATGGAATATGGTTACTTAGTGTTCACACAGTTGTCTGTTAAGGTGAACAAAATTGAAGCACAGCAAGTGTCATACAGGAGTCTTGATATGAAACTCACTGGGGCTCTGTGGTTCCTTGGTTCCCGGGCATAGGAGAGCTCATAGATTTCATCTTCAGTGTAGAAGAGATCCAGGGATAACTGTGGATCAAAGCAGAATAAGGTTAATTGCTAGGACGCTGTCTGCCTTTCCCGAGACTGATATTTCTTTTCGTTTAATCTTGGTGTTAGCAGTTTGTTTTTACGATTCAGAGTATGGCCTGTGTAACACCTGCAATAGGAAAAGCTTTAGTTCTTTGTTAAAATGTACTTAAGTTTTGGTAAAGTCCCAAGGTGCCCTTTCTAAAACACTGGCTTAATATCCATGATTTAGTATCTAAGCCTCTATACAGAGGTGATACTGTCTCAGGCAGAGATCTGCCAAGGTTACCTGGCTAAAGTGATAGGGCTAGAACAGCAAGATTAGGCACCAGCCAGGAATGAAGCATGGACTTAGCAAAATGCTCTTGGCAAGGCAGGAAGAAGATAGGGTCATTATTCCATTCCCCGCAAAAGTTTAAAACCTGTATAATTTCAGAACTAAAAGAGGTGATAAAATATGCCAGGGAGGATCCCTCTGAGGTTACAGAGGAGAGAAGAGACATGGAGTGTGTGGGCCCACAGTGACACAACTGGTGAACTCTGGTCCCAGGTCTGGAAGGAAGCTCAGCTCACCCCAGACCCAAAGTGCAAATCCTGGTTTCCATGCCACTGAAAAGGGCCCACCTCCTCTTGGCTTGCAAGTCTCTAAGCCAGTGGTGGCGGGACCCAAAGAATAAATCTCTTTTTTTTGTTTTATTCTAATTCATTGCCTTGTCCCCCCTCCCCTTATAAGAGCACACTCTCCATCTGTTATCAACCCTTAAATCCTGATTTGCCATTTCCTCCTAGACAGATTGCCACTGCTTGTGCTAGAGCAGGGAAACACCCTTTAAATTCCAAAGGTCCAATGCTTAAGAGAAATCCGCTGAAGTTCCCCTACTTGGGTCTGAGTCAAGGCTCGGCCACTTAATATGTGGTTCTCTGGCAAGTTACGTCTTTGTGCTTCAGTATCCCATCCACCTGCTTCACAGAGTGTTACGGGGATCAGTGGTGTTAGCATGTGACAAGGTGTGCAGCATGGCACCTGGCACACGGAAGGTGCTGAGTAGCCGTCCTCCGGCGTGACCCTTACCGTCAGCAGGTGCACCAAGTCCTTGTTGGCCTCCAGCGGCGGGGCCACCTCCTGTAACTGGACCAGTTCACTGATGTGATTGTACAGGGCCAGCAGCTTGTGGACGTTCACCTTTCCGTCCTCCAGGTGGTCGGGCATGGCTTCGTAGAGGGAAATGAGGTCTTTGAGGTGCACCCCCAGGATGGGGATCTTGAAGTGGGTGCATTCCCCGTAGGCTCGCCGGTAGTTGTCATAGTTTCTGCAGGAGGACAGCAACTCAGTCATCTCACTGAGAACCTACGAAGAAGAACAGACCAGTCATGGATGTTGCCTGGGCGGGACAAGTTGTCTGTGATGCCATCTGGCTCTCTGTCATCCCCTACCACGATTTCACTCCGGCTCTAACCTGTAGGGCAGGGGGTGATTCACCTAAAAGATAAAGGTTATGACTTCCTAATTACAACGTCAGTGTGTCAAATGTCACAGTATATTTACAGGCACAGGATACGCTTTACTTGATTTTACCACATAACTTAAACTTTCAATGAGGTTTTAAAATTTCTTTTCAAAAATAAGTATAGGTACCTGACATAAAAATTAAAAAGATAATTAAAAGATTAAAAGGAAACAGTAAATTTCTCTCTAATCCCCAGCCATATGGTTCTTTTCCCTAAGGTCTCCTGAATGTTTCCAGAGACACAAAATGTGATGTCTCACGTGCTACCTTTGTCACTGGCATGGACACAGCATGTGTGTTCAGTGTGGAGCTGCAGTACTGCAGTGTGCTGCTGTTCTTTATGAGGCACTCCACGGGCCAAGAGTCTCCAGTGGGGCCCACTGTCGGGGAAGGTGACTTCCATTCACACAGGAAACCCTAAACCAAGGAGGGTGAAGTCCGGTTCCCAGCAAAGAGCATGGGCAAGGAGGAGACAGAGGCCCTGGGACCTCTCACTCGTGCCTGTGCAGCCCTCCATCCTGCAGGTGGGCATGCTGCCCAGCAGAGTGGAGAGGGGCAGCCAGGCTGGTGGTCTTTTCAGGTACCCTGGCTCTTGTCCACCAGCAGCTCACAGAGCCCTGTTATCCATTCAGGACCATTTTCTTTTTCTGAAGCAAAGATTTGAAAGAAAAACTGCCAGTCACATCATCTCACAAAATAACTACTTGAGACAACACCCAAATTCTTTTTTTTTTTTTTTGGTACCAGGGGTCGAACTCAGGACCTTGTGCTTGTGAGGCAGGCGCCAAACCACTGAGCTAAATCCCCGGCCCCCAAATTCTTTTTTATAAAATTGCGGCTTAAAAAGCACCATTTCTCCACAAAAAAACGAGATGTGGAGTCAGCCCTCAATCACTTCGAGGTAATGAGAGGCCTCCTCCTCACACCTCTGGCAAACACTCCGAGTGTGAGTGTGAGGCACGGAGAGCTCACAAGCCCGGAGCTCAGCTGCAGAGGGACATTTCTGTTTCCTCAGGAGGTGAGCGCAGCTATCTGGGGGACACGCTTCAACCCTTAATTTACTAATTCACTCTGAAGACCACCTTGAGCAACTGCAAACCCAGAACACTGCTGCGAGGAAACAAGCTGAAGAGAAGCAAGCTCTAATGGAGAAGCTAAAGGACACGGGACATGTTCATCTCTGACACATGGGAATTTTTACAGTTGTTCCATCTGGTCTCAACAGAACTGTCAGGGAAGGAAAAGGTGATGAAAGATCCCCTTCTGACCTGTCCACTGAGAGCTCCCCAGAGCCCCCACATTGTGACAACAGGAATAACAAAGGACTCCTCAAAAGAAGACTGCACAGCTGGGAGAAGCAGATAGGGCAGTAAAGCTCAGATCTCCCTCAGAAAAGAGCTGCCTTCCATGTCAACTTGAGATGCCCAGGGCTGGAGAACAAAAAGATCCTATTACGTGAGATGAAAATGTGCAAAGAGCTGTCATAGCTAACCCATGCTGTACATGGCTGCCTTGAGATCCTCAGGAGAGCACGGTGGTTTATAGCAATGGCCCTACATCATAAAAGATTAAAGTATATTCTGTAACATCTGGATAATAGAGAAACATGCACAGAACACTTAAGAAAAATGGTCCTCAATAAAACATTATCTATTACAAAATGGTACCAAAGGGCTCATCTCCAACTCTCTGGGATTACCCAAGTATGCAGGCAATCATTCTCCAAGCCTGGATGGCCAGGGTTTTATCGTAGCACTACATAAGTACACTCTGCATGCAAAACACATTGGAGCGAGACACTGGGGCAGAGGGCTCCGCAGTAAGAAGGGTGACTGAATCTCAGCAGCCTGTGAACGTGGGAAAGGCACACGTGACTTCAGCTGGTCCAGGAGAAAAGGACGAGACCCTGAGGCCTGATGGAACCAGACACTCACATCTGTCACTTCCCAGTCCTGCGGGTTCCCTGGGGGGTGTCCTTGTCCTCCTCCGCCTGTTGGGCAGGGATGGCGTGGTTTGGACATGCTGAGGAGGACGGTGCCTATCCTGGGGGTGTTGGTGAGAGCACAGAGGCAGCGGCACTGACCTTATTGATCTCGTGCGGGACGTGCGAGCTCGTCTCCTTGAGCCTGGAGATGGAGCTGTGACACAGTCCGCCTATCACGGCCATCAGCGTATTGAAGTTCTGCAGCTGATGGAGCTTCTGAGGCGGGAGACAGATGACAACAGCGTGACTGCACAGGTCAGTTACACAGGGAGTGCAGGGGCTCCACCCATCCTACGACTCTTCCTTACACTGGTCCCTTAGTGATGACGAGAGGCAATTTCCTGTTCATTCCTCCCTTTCACTGTATCCCGGACTGATGGATTCCAAATTAGGAAGGCGTTATATTTCTCTCTCTCTCTCGTAGCTGATCTATAAGCCACCATCTAAATGACAGTTTCCAACAAGTACTATGAGCACCTGTTCAAGGCAAAGACGGCTGAACCCCCTACCTGGAGCTGGACGGAGAGATCTGGACTTCTAACGTACCTTTAACGAGTGAGTGGGAAAATAGCATCATCACCCTATCTAGACCCGGGGACAGGCTCCCACCAGGGCTCAAAGGGAAGAACAACTCTCAGTGAAGACGAGGCTGGACAAAAGAAGTAGAGTTAATTTACTTCACGGCCCAGGCCGGAAGTCTTGATCCAGCCACTCACCTGAGCCACGTGGATGAACTTGATGAAGACTTCTGCCCGGAGCTGCGGAGTGGGGCGGCTGAGAACCATCAGCTGCACCCACTGGGAGATGCCGTTGCACAAGGCAATGGACCGCTCCATGGTGGGGTTCTCCTTCACACAGCGATTTACAAGGTAATTTTGATAATCAGAGAACTGGAGGAAGAAAAACACCCATCAGACTCGTGCTCCGGTATTGCGGGAGATGGGGGGCGGGGGTGAGTTCTGCTCAGCGATGGCCGGGTGCCGCTACTGGGCAGGCAAGTCTGTGGCCTCTTCTGCTGCCGTCTTTGCCATGGGGCCCACAAGAATAGTGAGAGGGAAGCCACACCATGGCTCCTCTACATCAGCATCCATTGGGTATACACTAATCCAAATATGTGAGCAGATCCTGTCCTACTAAATTCTAAAGAACAGAGTATACAAGAAAAAGCTCATTACTGGTTTCGGCTGTGCTGCTAAAGTTAAAAAAAAATAATTCCCCTCATAAAAACAAATCATTTTCTCCCCAGCTGTTGTCTTAAACATGTGATAATAAAATCTGCCCTATTTAGAACATGGAATTGTTATAAAGATCAAGCAAGTTAATGTGTGAAAGCACGTTAACTTTTCAAAGTGCTACATAATTGTGAGGTGGTGCTAATGGGATAATTATTTCCTCATGCGCCAACAAGCCTCTTAAATTTCTTTTCTACTCACGAACTTGAGCAGAGGCCAAGTCAGAGGGGCACACAAAACATGGTTAGCTATATACTCAGTGACCACGGTTTACCAGTCTGACAATGGCACTGGGTGTGGTTAATAATGAAACAGCGTATATGAAACTACAAATGTCCTGGCAGATCCAGTGTAGGTGATGATTGTAGGTATCACATCCCTGTCACAAGAATCCCTCTGCACAAACAGTATAGCCAAGAGGGAGGAAGAGCCTGCTGTCTTCCCATGTTCCTGTGGGAGGCTTTGGTGCTATGCCCAGTTTAAACTCTTTCCTGTGAAAGCAGATGTGGCTGTGTGACACAGCCAGCCCACACCAAGTGTGTGGCAGTGATGCGACTTTGAAGGGAAAGACTTGAGAGCCAACAAATGGATGATTGCAACACTGCCACTCCACTGCTACAGAGGTCGTAGGGGTTTCTGGTAAGACGAGGCCTGCATCAGCTGGGTCCAGAGCCACTCCGAACCCTGTTAGCCGTGTAGGATGAGTGATGACTAATCTTTCGCTTTGAGTCACTGAGATTGTGGGTGGGTGTATGGGGGTGTTGCTGCACTACACCTTGGTCTTGCCTTGGTGGTAAACAGGCTGACGAGAGCTCCTAACCTGAATAACACAACTGTATGTTAGCCGAACCCCATTTTACTGTGCTGTGATGGCCGATGGGTAGGACCAAAACCACTCTTCAAAAGAGATGTAGAAAGCAAAATTCTTCCTGGCTCTAAGAGATAGTTGCTGTGACTCATTCCAAGGAACATTTTATATACTCTTCCACTACAGATATACCCAAGAACCCACTATTTAAAAAAAAAAATTATTCCCACAATCTCATCTCCCTTTTGGAGATGCTGCAAGAAACAAAATACCAAATGCCTTTCAATTCACAGCAGAGACAAATTTCCCTCCAATTTCATGTTGGAAAGAAAACTCTTCGGGGAAAAATGTTTAGAACTATATGGGAAAAACAGAAAATCCCTAAAAGAGTCTTCTATGAAGAGACTGTGCCACTCCAAAGAAATGAAGGTTCAAACTTTTTTTAATTTGCAAGTAGAACACTGCTCAACCCCTACAGAGCCTGGCTTGGATCTCTTGCTCAGTGCTCATTTTTCCTTTCAGCCTCCAATGATCTGAACACTGGCAGCAGACCCATGTTCCACAGGCCTTGGCCCTGCCAGCCTCTCTCCAGCAGAGCTCAAATTTCCAGTGTGATAAAGCAGCTTTCACCAGTGTCCTGCCTGCCCCGTGACGGGAGGCTTTGCCGAAAGGAGACTCCCTAATGGAGCCTCAGCGGGGTCCTAGGCTTCTGGAGGGGTGCTGGTGAAGGCTAGAGATGGGGGTGCTCACGCCTGGAGATTAATTTCCAAGTGGAAGCTGGGGGATTCGTGGCTGGTTGGACAAACAGCCATGTGAACACAGCAGGGATGACAGCATTATGGGAGAAAAGTATGAAATACCCTCTGTAATCTGGTTTGCAGGTTGCCTTCCAGATACAACTAGGCTCAATAAATTGGTACTGAAAAGCTCGTGGTCCTGGCCCCAGCTTGGATTCTCAGAAGCTGTTCTGACCTTGCTCTCATCAGCCTCTGGGTTCCCATTCCCTTGCCAGGAGCACATGGCTCATTCCAAGGAAGGCATCCAGCAGCTTGCTGTCTGTGGTTTCAGAGCAAAGTGGAAGACTGTGCCTGTGGGTAGGTCACGCCTTCGAGGAGTGAGGGTGTCCCTGTCAGGAGAGCATATCGGCCTGCTGATGCCACTGTTCTCGATGTCACACAGGGAGTTTGGAGGACTACGGTGAGGACCGGATGCACCTGTGTACTCTTCCTGTTCTTGATAAGCTGAAATCCCCTTCATCCTTCTCCGCTCCAGTCCAAGTTCTGCCTGGTTGCCCCAACAGCAAGGATTAGGCCAGCACAGGTGCTGTCCAGAAGCACGGTAAGTGCTGGGCCAGCTCGGCACCATCTTAGGACTCAAGGCACGTTGTGGGGTAACCTGTGGCATCTATTTTATTGTGGGATTTTCCAGAGCCATTAAAAGCCTACAGTCAAATGAATTCAAACTCTGAGGGGACATACCTCTTTTTTAGGAAGATTAGCATTTGGTTTTCTGGAAGGCTAATGATGCTCAGGGCTAAAGGAGGTGTATACACTCACAGGCACACGTATGCAGGGTGTCACAGGTGTCCTCAACACTGTAACCTGAGTGAGGGGCCGGGCAGGGTTGGCATGGATGGGGTGAGAGAAGGGAAGCCCAACAGGGGCAACCAAAGGAATTCAGATGGTCCCCACTTTCCTGCCATGGTGAATGCTGAGAAGGCGTCCCAGCACTGATGGGGCCTCGAGTGTTCTGAGATGGACAAGCTGTTAAATTCCCTGCCTATTTTCAGAAACTTCCCAGAATAGGTTTTTCTCTTGCCCCTTGGGTACGTACAGATATCCTGCGAAAGGACTTGAACTCCAGGTAGGTCAGATGCTCGGATAGCTCTTCTGGTTCCAGATGGTCAAAGAGCAGAGAGACTTTCCGTTTCTTGCTGGTATTTGATTTTATCCTTTGAGTAAGTTTTCTGGACCAGTCACGAGCATTGCTTTTGTGGGTATATGTGAAAGGGAGAAGACAAGGAAAAAGAATAAATTGCAATTGCTTTTTGCAAGTAAATCCATTAGTGTCACCCACAAAATAGAGAAAGCACCATTAGCTACCCCTCCTCAGCCCACACGAGGACTCAGAGCATCTCCCCCAAATCAGTTTTTCTGTGGCAGCAAGCAGGAGGCCTTGCTGGTTTCTAGTGAGCCTCTGGAATGCATCACGGGGCACAGGGTGAGTGAGTCCTCGGAAAGGCAGTGGAAGGGCAGAGTGCAGTCCTCAGTCATAGTTTCCTTACTACTTGGTCTGGGCCCTGGTAAGCCTGCTCTCTCTATGGCTCCTGGGTGTTCTTCATGCTCCCGAGGCGATAGGACTGTCTGGTTGGAAATCTCAAGGGAGCTCGGCAGTTTTCATGCATGAAGAGGTCAGAGAACCATAGGGAGAAGACATCAGTTGCAAGGAATCACACATAGGAGGAACATGGGGTCATTCTGGGTAGAGTGGAGTTATTTCCTCAGAGGACCCCAGCCACTGAAATGATGAAGGAATCTGGACTGACCCTGGATTGCCATCTCTATATTTCCTCATAATCAACTCATGTGTTTCTTACTCAGTTTTAGTTTCCAACACAAAGGAAGCAGAGGGAGCGGTCCAGTTCTGGAAGGGAGCAGATTCAAGATCTGTATTTCCCAAGGCAATGCTCCTGGGTACCCTGCCTCTTAATAAAAGGGGTCTATGATCAAATGAGCTTGAGAAATACTACAAATTTTATATTGCTCTTGGCCAGTGAATAGGTTACAGTTTCTGAAAGGCAACGCAAAAGGATAACTTCCCTTGTTATTCCTCAAATACAACTGGTCAGATAATATCTCACAGACTAATTCCTAAAGGATATACTGTGGAATCAATTGGCAGAAAAAGGCCAGCTAGGAAATACTGGGACAGGAGACCTAGGTATGAGGATTGTCCTGGGTTATGGGCTCTTTGCCTTTAAAATGAAAAAACAAAAACACAATGTTACCTAGGAAAAAATCTCTTTCGCTCTTTCTGGTTATATAATACTTAGCACAGAATTACAGAGAATCCAGACTAATGAGATTTACTTGGGGCCCTGGATGTGATTTTGCAGTCATTTCTGTGTGGCAGAGACCCCAGCTCTGTCCGGCCACTAGCTTGCCTACCTAGGATCCCAGACCAGTCATAGTTCCCCACTCAGAAAATCAGGACGTTGGCTCAGCTGATCTCTAGAATATGTTCCATTTCCAGAATTCTATGTCTCAGAGATTTGCCCTACTGTGAAATAATGTGGCTATATTATCAAAACCTCATCAGGCCGGGGATTTAGCTCAGTGGTTCCGCCACCTGCCTTGCAAGCTCAAGGACCTGAGTGCGATCCCCGCTACCAAAAAATAAAACAAAAAAAACCTCAGCATACAATGCATGTTCCCCTATTCCAAATTAAGAAAGACTAATTTTCCAGAGTGGGCCATTTATATGAAGAAAAAATGATTAAAAAATGCAAGGAATAACATGACATTTTCCTGAGATCCCTTCCTAGTTCTGGAAGGTTAGGTGTCTTTTCCAGACATTTGTATATGTTACAAATCCTCTGCTTACTGCATTTTCCAGCACTTCCTCTTCTACAAGTTCAGGGCCCTCTTCTGCATCAACTACTGAAGGAGCAGAATCCAGCCACTGTCCTCTCAGTTTCTCATGGTCTGGATACATCTTAGTGAAGGTCCTGCTACCTGATTTCCTGGCTGGGATTTATTTTCTCTGCTCTTGGACATGAAGCTGACCACTGGGGGTTTCTCAGCTGCTCATTAAACGTCAAGCGCCCACTCTGGTGAGACAACCCGGGCCTGCCTGTCTGGGGAGCTCCTCAGCATGAAGGAGTGCAGCTGTCCCCACTAGGAGTCAGACCCTAGCAAAGCAGCCAGGATTACAGAAGGGAGTCAGCTCCAAGAGATGAGCCCAAACCACGAACTCACATTTGAGTGGTATCAATCAGGCAGCAGTGCGACTCCTCCCCGTTTGCTTTCACCAGTTCCTGGAACTCCTCCATAGTGTTTGTCAAGCTGGCATCCATTTTAAACATGATCCAGAATTCTGTTATCCAATACCTAAGAGGAGGGAGTTAAAAATCACAGTCCAGTGCTGAAGCCAAGGACTCAAATGGGCGGGCTCAAGAAGGAATTTGCAGCTACAAAGAGGACTCTGAAAAAGAGGCTAATCTGTCTTACTGTGAAGGAGCTGAGGGTGGGGGCAGGGAGGGAAGGGACCCTCTGGTGACAGTCTTCAGTGTCACCACAAAATGCTCTGATAAGACAGGGTGTGTGATAATCAAAGCAGCCACAGTCGGTCATGTGCAGGAGTTATACTGAAGACAAACCAAATGTCCAAAACACCAGGCAATGAACCTATAAAGTATGCTCTTATCACACATTAGAGCATTGTATCACCATGAAAAACAATGTTTTCAAAAAGTCTTTAAGGACTGGAGAACATTCTTTCAATAGAAAGTTAAGTACAAACTAGAATATAATACTAGACACACTTTCATATCAACTACATTAAGAAATCCATGTGGGAAAAAAAAGGAATATACCAAAATTCATAGCTTGGTGTGAATGATTTATATTATTTTCTGAATGTTAAAAATGTACAATGAGCTATATTACCTTCATAATTAGGAATAAAAATAAATGCCTGTATCCTTCCCTTATGGCATTTGACACCAAGGGGCTGTAACACTGAGAAAAGCACTGGTATGAGATACTGGCCCGGGCAACCCGGAAGAAACCCACCGGCTCCTGTGGAGCACTCCGCAGTACTGAGGCTTGCCCTCTCCAGGATGTGCAGAGAGGTGTTCTGCATTACGGGTGTGGGCAGGGGAAAGGCAGGGAGGACCAAGAAGACCTCAGTCCCTTGCTGGAGCCTTTTGCTTCACCCCGCTCCACAGACTAAGCCCAGGCAGAAGTGTTACCTGACAAAATAGCAGATCTTCAGACAAACCCCTGGTGAATTCTTTGCCAAGGCACCCTTATAGGTAGGGCTGTGGTTAAGGGAAACAGGAGGGTGTTGCAGAAAGAAACCCAGCAACTTCCATCTTTGGAAGTGTCTGCTCAAACGGCCCTCTGAAACAAGGAACAAATGACCTCCTGCCTGTATCCCAGAGACTAGGAGTTCAACTGAGTCAACAGGTTAAGAAAGAGCAGCTCCTTTTGTCTTTAAAAATGTTTCTAGTAACTGATTTATGCAGTAACAATTTGCATAGTGAATTTCAAGAGGAAGAATTACAGATTCAATTGTAATAATTCATTGTCATGATAATTAAGAACAATAATGTGAAAGTTATAATGCATACACCCAAAGGGTATCAGGACAGTGACCTTATAAGCTGTGATGACAAATCAGACAAAGCCATGGGGATAATCCAGAGGACCCTGGAGGTTATCTTAGGGTCCTCATCATCCTAAATATCCCAAGAACAGGAAAAAATAGAAAAATATCATGAAATGTACATGTCTTTAGGGAAAGGATATTCATTTAGGAGTTGAAAAAACCAGAAATACAATAGAAATACAATCCAGTGAGGGACCTGGGTGGGTCTCGCCACATTCCCTCCATCAACAGACTGACGAACAGCCTGTATGACCGTGTGCCCCACAAGGCATGCCCTCTTCCCCCTAAAATCTCTGACACAACAACGGTAATATCGGGCTCAGTAAATTCTAGTTGAGCCCTGAGAGGAACCAGTAAGCAAGCCAACAGAGTTCGCAATGAACTCGGGTAGGAATGGTCTTCCTTCAGTGGATATATGTGTCTCAATTCTTGGAAAATTTAGAATTAAATATAGAAAGGTAAAAGACAGTAAAAATCTTGTGCTAATGTTTACTTGGAAGGCATCCATGCATTTTGAAATTTTACATGCCAGTAACATTTAAAAGCCTATTAGAATGATAGCCTTTAGAATTCAATTTAGAATGTATAATTAAGTGCTTTGGACTTGTGGTTTTTTATTGAAACCTAATTTTATAGACAGCTTGGGGACATCTAAGATGTTAGCTTTATTGTTTATAGCTTTAGTTTAGCATTATAAAAACTATTTAGGATTTAAGGAGGCATATGAAGCGCTAAAAAAAATCTAAAATGTATGACTATAGCTTAAAACCACTGGAAGTATTTGATTAACATTATTCAAGTTAACCAAACATTTTCCAAAGTCCCTTAAAATTGCTTGCTGAAACATGCTAGACGTACACAAAGAATAAGATTTACCAGCTGAACTTGAAAAACTACACAACTATGGTTGTAATTTTGTGAAATTTGTAATTTTAACAAAATGACTCCCAATTTTAAAAATTAAACATGAACAAATTTACTGCCTGTAAAAATCTGTCCTTGAAAACAAAACAAAACAGAAAAAACCCCACAAAACCTCATACGTCAGCAAAGGTAATAAAAATAAAACTAAGCCCGAGGTGCCTGGCAAACTCCATGAAGCAAAAGGTTCTGATGCACACCTCTTCCCGGGTGCGAGAGGAAACCTTTCCATCCCTTCCATTTCCTTACGCCACATCAGTAAGAACCTGTCAATCCGAGCAAAGGGACTTGGGCACAGGCACATTCCACATAAATGGCTTCTTAGGTTCAGTATTTTTGTTATTTTTCTACTTGCTGAAACTTCTATTCCTGTTTCTTACTCTTCTTTTTTAAAAACTAAACGATACAGTAACCAGCACAGTGGTTTCACGTGCTGTGTGCCTTCCTTCCTGCTGCCCTGAATCCTTTTCTTCAAATGTCTGACAGCGCGTGGAGGCTGAGTGTGATGTGTGCAAATCTTGTCTGTCTACCCGAGTGCTGGATCTGGGCCCCTCTAAACGCCAGCCTCCTGAAGCCAGCAGCCCTCCAAAGGAAGCAGGGCCCTTCTTTCTCACTTGGGGCATGGAACAAACACCTAGCAGGGGCAGGCTGAGTCACTGGGGGCTCAGGTGTCTGTGACTGGGGTAACTTCAGTGTTCTCTGGAAGCCTCAGACCCAGCACCTTTTCTCCTCTCCATAACCAGTATTATGGCCAGGGAGGACCAGCACAGTTCTGACTGTGCTCTTCAGGCCTCTGAGCTATTCAAAGCATGTTTTTAAATGAATCTCCCCCCACCCCACCCGAAGGAAAACAGGAAACTGTCTGAGCCTACTGCCTATTTAACTAAAAGTTCTATTACTTCCACATCAAAGAACACAGATATCTGCCTGGCACAGTGGGGAACACCTGTAATCCAAGCACTCCTGGAGGCTCAGACAGGAGGATCTCAAGTTTGAGCCCAGTGTGGGCAACTTATCCACATAAAGAGATCCTGTCTCAAAATAAAAAAAAAAAGGGCCAGGGATGTAGCTCAGTACAAAGAGCCTGGGTTCAATCCCCTGTACCATAGAACAACAAAACAAAAAAATGAAAAGGGAAAGCAAGTGTGGGAAAAAAAAATCACTCTGCCTTCAATGTGCAACCTGGCTCTCCATCACAGGGAGTTTCTATTTCACACTCCCCTTAGAATCCTTTTTCCTACCCTATATTATATCTTAACCTTATGCAATTTGACCTAAATATTTGACCTAAAAGTTCTGGCAAATACAAAAAAAAAAAGTATCCAATGTTTATACTCATAATATGCAAATACCAAAATACCAAATACCAAAATTTACCCACAATAATGCAACATTTACTGCACCTTACCATGAGATGGTCACTAAACTAAGAGAAACAAAGATAAATAAGCCTTGCTCCCTGCCCTGGAGGATAGTCTATTGGAGAAAATGATATGCAAATAGATAAAGTATGCACTCTTTAAATTTTTTAATTTGTAATTTAATTTTGCAGTACCTTTGCAACCTATCATTAGAAAATTCAACAGCTAGCCACAAGGTTTTATAAGTTACAGTACTTGAAAGAGCCATTTTATAATACTGTAAAACTTACAGACTCAAGTTCAGTTAGATGAACTAATTAACCAACACAGCAAAAACACTTTACACTTTCTGTAGTCACAGGCAAAAAGCTTTTCAAGCCAGAATACATCCAAATGAGAGAGAAGGTATCAGAGACCCCTGCAGCAGATCCTGATCTGCTCGGTGCTACGATGCATGGTAAGAAGACACAGAGGGAGAGTTAAAGAGACAGAGATGGGGAACTGAGATGATCAGTGCTTGAGCAAGTGAAGGCTTGAGGAAGCAAAGCCTCTGTACAGCCAGAACCATCAATATTTATTGGAGACACAATCATTGTTAGGTTGGGGTGAGGAGGGGGCTATCTGTGGTTCCCAGAGATATGCTATTGATGCCCAAAAGGCTTATAAAGGAAGAGACAAAGCATTCTTGTGTTAGGCTGGGAATGGAATTTGGGTAAGAGTCACTCTGACCTTGGCTGTGTATTATCTCATATACTTTGGTCAGACTCACTTCTTAAAATAAGCCAATTGCAGGATTAACTCTTCACAGTCTGCACTTCTTACAGCCTGCTTTTGGCATAATCAATGGGGTGGTCTGCCATGAGAGGAAGAAAGACAGTGAGGAGAGAGGAGAGAGGGTGGGAGAGAGAGAGAGAGAGAGGGAGAGAGAAGGAAGGAAGGTCAGGCTTTGACATAAGCAATGCAAAACTAAAGGGAAAGAAATCAAATAGATTTTCAATCCAGAAGACTATCTTAAAACACTAGAAGTACTTCTAAAGCAAAGGAGGGCTGGAAAGTCAGGAAAAGTCCTTTGGAGGGGTCCTGAAGGGAAGTGCCTGCCAGGCCCAGGGACTGGGAATGACCCATAACATCTGGAGGGCTGAGAGGTCCAGTGTGGAGGGGAAGGGTCCTGGGAGAGCTGCAGGGTGAGGGAGGAGGGTCTGCCTGGGCGGGACCACCAGGACCTTGGCTAGCAAGCTGAGGAGTCACACATGAGCCCTGTAGTTGGGAGAGGTTGTGAAGCAACTGCCTACCCAGTTGATTTTAAGGAAAGAATGGCGATGTGAAGAATAAACAGAAAGGGGCCCATACAGGGGAGATGACCAGTAGGGGCAGAGGTCTGGGAGAGACAGAGGGACCTGCACTTAAGTGGCAGCCCAGGAATGGAGAGAGACCAGGGAAGAATCAATTCTGAAACAGAAACCCTAGGATGGGGTGGTAGAGTCTGCGGGAGGTGAAGGGCAGGGAGCAGCCAAGACTGCTTTCTGACGTTTCTGATTTAGGCAACTGGTAATGACACCACACCTGAAATTGAAAATGAAAACGCAGATGTCAGAGCAGAACTAATGTGGCTGTGAACAGCCTAAGAGACTAAGACTAAGGTATTAGAACATGCTATGGCTGACATGTCAGCAGGAAAAACTAGTCCAGATCTTCAAAATGTGGTTTGGTTAGAGAAACATCTGCTTCAAGTGAGCAGCACAGAAGGGCAGTGGTGGATATGTAGGACAGAAGCACTCTCAAAAGCCAGCCAAGTGAGAGGGAGACTGGGACGCTACCCTGAATTCGAAGGCAGCTCAGGGAAGAGGTAGGCGAGACCTGGGGAGGGGACAGCCAAGCACCACAGAGCCCTGGGCAGAGCTCCCTGGAGAAGCAATGGCTATCTGGCAGTCACTGTCCACAAGGATAGGAGAAGCACTGCGACTGCAACTGGTAAGTCACTGGTGACATCAGGGGAAAGTCCGAGTGCTCTAGAAGGAGCCACAGTTAAGGAGTGAGTAGGAGTAAAGAGATCGGAGATAGTGACTGAACACTATTTTAAGATGTTTTTGCATCAAATTTCTAACGCTAGCAATGGAATAAGGGTAAGCAGGGTAACAAGATTAGTTTTAGTTTGGGGACACTTGGTGTGTTGTGGCTGAGGGGAGGTGCCACTGAAGAGGGAGCGATAGTGGGGCAGCTGGCAGAGGGCGGGTCTGTGAGGAGCCGAGGAAACATGCATGGCAGGGGGCGCTGGGCGGCAGTACCGGCAGGGTGGCCCCCGCGCTGAGGCCAACGAAAACATTTTCAGGGAGGAACATCTGATTACCCGCACTGTCTGCGCTCACTGGTACACGGAGAGGACGAGGAGCAGGCAGCCTTCGAGCTGCTGCTGCAAGGTCTTAAGGTTCTCTGCAGACACGGTGTCCGTGCGCTCCTGTACCTGTCACTGCGATCTTCGCCCTGCGCTCCTCCCTCTGGGTGCTACCCGAACCCCTGCTTTGGGGGTAGGAGATAAGATTGACTAGTGGGCTTAGGGAAGAGATTCACACCCGATGGGCTTCTCTTCGGATTTAGTATTTAGTTTTTCTGATGCCATAAGAGGATCTGGGAGGAGTTAGCAGAGTGGTAAAGGATTAGAGCAGCCGCAAGTCATGACTCAGTGCCAGGATGTGCGCCTCGGCACTAAACGGTCTCACCTCCCCTACAGGCCTTTTCCTCTGGGGCCACAGCAGCAGCATCAGTGAGAAAGGGAAAGCAACCCCCCCCCCCATTCACACCCACAAGAAGGCTAGCACCTGGCAGGGCTTGCTTTGGGCATCACTGATGCCTCTGCCTGGCAAGAAGGCCCCAGAAGATCTTCCAGATGGTAGAGCCATGGGGAGCTTCCTCCAGAGCCTGCAGAGGGCTGAAGGGTCAGGAAGGAAAGCTGGGCAGGAAGGAAAGCCAGGCAGGAGTGCACTGCTAGACACCTGCTGGTGCCTTTGACAGTTGGCATAGGATGACTATGGATCCTGACACTCTACAAGAAATAGCTTTTACCACCCAGGCATACTGCAGGTGACTTCTTTGAGCATCTCCCAGACACTACTGCCCCATACAAAAGAAGCTGCACATGTGAACACACACACACACATCCTGAAAGGAAATATGGACCCCTTTACCACTCAGGGTTATTCCCAAACAATCACTATAAAGCCTACTTCAAATGTTGAGCTATGTTTTGAACGAGCCCCATCTTGGGGTTCCAGTCACTCTGAGCAAGGATATAGGGTCATAACTTTCTGGAGCAGTTCTGCAGAGGAGATGATGATGCGGTGCATGGTCAGCATGACTTGCAGCAGTTGGTTACTTCGACACAGGTTTCCATCTGCATCTGAAAATACAAAGAACAGCATCTGAGTCTGGCTCCGCAGACAAGTAGGCACCTGGGGACACCTGGCACCCTTCACTACTAGGTGGTGGCCAGGGGACAGTGCTTTCCTTCCACTGCCCAGGACTTCACTCCATCCTAGCTTTTCTTATTCTCCTGCTACACTTTCCCCTGCCAAATGCCCACTTTGATGTCCACTGGTCATGCTGCCCTGAAGGTGGGAAAAATCTGCATCAGGACACCTATGTCTCTGTGAAGCAGAAGCAGGTCCAGGTTTAGTGGAGTTAAAAGTACACATAGTGGGGTGAAGTGTGGAGAGACCCTCTAAGGCCAGAGTAAGAAAGATTACCGTATTAATATATTGCAGTTAAAACATTACTACTTTCAAAAATTTTACAAAAATATGTGACCATATATATGAACACATGTCTAGGGTTCTCTCATGGCCCTGGAAGGGGCACACGAACGCAAGGGGTCCTGAAATGAAAGCTTCCCTAGTTGTATGATTGAGTGTTCCTCTGATGGAAACAAAGAAGGCTTGAAACAAACATTACATTTGAAGACTATCAGTAGATTACAGGTATCCATGATGATCTGTGTCAAAGAGCATGGTTAGCTGGGTTTCCAAATCCCATCTAGTACCAAATAATAAGATGCATTCTACACACGGGCATTCAGTATAAAACTTCCGCATGGGGTAATTTTCAAAGCCTTTCAGCATTAATGGCATGAAGTGTTAGGGAATGTGCTGGTTATTCACTGCCAGATCTATGCTTTGGGCCTCACCAAGAATCCCATTACCTTGGCTTCCTTGCCAGCTGGATTCCAGTTAGGTGAAGCCACTGAGAAATAGCAGCAAGAGACTAGCAGAGAGAGCAGTCAGAATATTTCTTACTGCCTCTCTGCTTGGACACCAATTCCCCCAAAGTGGCTACCTGTGTCTTCAATGGATAAGCACACTGGTTGGCACTGCCTTCCTGGCCATAACTCTCACTGGGACCTCATAGTGTTATAACAGCCTTTGACCTGCTGGTCCTCGGGAGAGTGATAACTTTTGGAATGTCTTCATTCCGCTCTCCTTCTGTAAGTAGTCCCTTCATTAAGGTGTCTTCATTTACAGAAACTGAGTAAATTCCGCCCCTGGATGAACACTGGTGATTTGGAGGAAGGTATCAAATGAAAGAGTACATATGAAATGTTTGTCATCTGTATTGCTCATTAGAGTATATTATACAAAAGGGGTTATCACTTTCGCTGTTTCAAGTTTACCACATTGTAAATGGGGACACAGTGCATGTGGGCTCAGAGGTCCTGACTCCTAATGTGAGCTAAAGTCAGTTCAATGAGAGGATTCAAGTAAACTAACAGTATCTCTCCCCTCCCCATCACCAAATCCAACTGGTGCTCCCCTGCTACTGCCTGCCCCCTTTCCCTGTAAAAGGAAGGCCAGCCTTCCAGAGCCCGACACACCCACTGGGCTCCAGCTCTCTTCGCAAAGATGCCTACTTCCTCTCCTGCAGCATCAGCTTTTCTCTCTGCTGACTTAACTTTCACTGGCATCCATCCATCCATTCATTCATACTTATTTATTTATCCCTTTTTTAAGTACTATACGTTTATGACACATAATAAATACACTCATCCACTGGCGGCGTTTAAATGTGCCCGTGCACCTCCTACTTCAGACAAATGAAATAAAACAGCACCTTCAATGCTCATCCTCTCCGCCTTCTTCTGCATTTCTGTTTGTCTTCTCACCCAAACCTTACTGTCATCCCATCTCATCTCCTATTCCATTCCACTCCGGTGTCCAATGTTCCACTAAGTCTTCCGTCTTCGAAGTTACCAATCAATGGCACACTGCCGAATCCAGTCGCCACTCCTCTGTCTCGTCTCACTGCGTGACTCAGCTGCATTCCCCCAGCACAGCCCGGGTGCCGCTTCTCTCCCGGGAACACTTGCGTCTCTTGGCTTCCGTGGCTTCACATCTCACACTTCTCTCTCAGCCCCTTCTGTCTCCTCTTCCTCTGCTGGGCTTTTAAATGTCAGCATGCTCTGAAGGCTTAATCCTCCCACTTCTTTTTTCTAACAATTTTTTAAAATTTAAAACTTCCTATAGTTTAAATTTTTTAAATTTTAACGTTTTCTAGTTGAACTCACCTAGTCCTTGGACTGAAGTACCATCCCTCTGCTGCTGACTGCCCAACTTTTACCTTCAGCCTTGACCGCCAGGTTAGCATGGGCAACAGCCCGCCTGACAGACCCACTTAGTGATCTAATCCTCTGCACGAAACCCTTGACCTCTCCCTCCCAGATCATCCCTCCTCCATTTTTTCTTACCGCTAGATATGGCACCACTAAACACCTTCTGAGTTACCCAAACGGGAAACCTAGGAGTCATACTTCATTTTTTTTTTTTACTGTCACTCATATCCATGCCACCAGGAAATCTTGATTTTTATTTCCAAAATATATCTCAAGTCTGTTTACTTCACTCCATTCTTTCTACACTCTTATCCAGTTGCAACCACCATGATGAAATGGCTAAATTGACCTCCCAGCTTGCGCTCTTGTCCACCGATAATCCATTCTCCCCACAGCAGCCGGCAGTGAGCCTCGGAGCCTATGAAGTAGGTCATGCGCTCAGTATACTTACATGAACTGCAGCCTACTTGTGTAAAACCCCTTAGCGGGGCCCACAGGGCAGCACAGTCTTGGCCTCTTTGAGTACTGCCCACTTCATTCTGCACCACATTACTTCTCTCCACACTTCTGCTGACACCTCAGACCCTCCAAGCTTACACTGCCCTTCCACTTTTTCCAAAACCTACTTCCAGGGCCTAGAACAGAGCTGACACATGGTAGGTACTTGTTAAAACATGTGCTGACTGAATGAATGAATGGTTATCAAATGGGAAACCCCTTCACTTTTCATGTCTTTTTGGAAATCAAGTTTGATTTTGTCATTAGCTATTTCATTTCTGAGATATAATACACATACTTATTTTCTTCTTGGCCACCGTTTTCAAAAGAAACTCAAAAGCTGCAGTTTGGCAAAACATTTTTGTGAATCGTTCATCTAGCTGGTTAATATTTCTGCAAATCTCCCATTAATTCTTCTAAAATTATACTCTGATAAGGAAGGGTTAGTATTGAGTTCTCTGTATTTGCTGGTTGCATAATTTCTGTAATAATTATATCTTGCCACAAAGTGATACATAATAAACCACGCCAAAACTCAGTGACTTAAATCAGGAACCCTTTATTTTTGCTCAAGGGTCTGTGTGAAAGCTGTGGGCCAGCAGACAGAAGCTGGGCTTTGCTGGGGGGTCCTACCCCAGTGTCTCCCAGCTACCCCGCACCAGTAGGCTGGTGGGAGTAGGTTTTTCGCATGCCAAGGACGGGACACTGAAGAGTAACTGGAAGGATGCAGTGCCTCTTAGACTAGGCTTGCAAATGGCACGCTGATGTCCTGCCTCATTCTGTCAGCCCAAAGAAGTCACAGTGTTGAATCTAAACTCAAAGGGCAAGATCTTCAAAGTCTCATGGAAAACATCAGAAGTAGAGAAGATAAGGGCTGGGGATTTAGCTCAGTGGCACCGCACCGGTCTGGCAGGAGCAAGGTCCTGAGTTCAATCCCTGGTACCAAAAAAAAAGGTAAAAAATTGGCAGTATTAACACAATCAAATCCACCACAGCTACAACAGCAGGGGTATTCATATTCCCGAATACTATGGTGAAAATCAGGAGAAACTAACTTGTAGAATATGCATTCAAATGTTCACACGAGCAAGGGACACAGGCCCAGGCTCATTCAGTGTGGATAGCACCTAAAACCTGCCCTCTTGTTATCTCTTTATGGCAGGCTAGCATGTTTCCACAGATGCTTATACATGCAGCCCAGGGCTCAGAAGTACCCTCCGTGAGAGAAAAACCAAATCATATATGGAAAGATTCAAGGAACTAAAAAGGGTTTACCATGGAGGAGACTCAGAGGAGGCACTGGAGCTGTCTTTGAATATTTGAGGCATCAACTGCTGGAGAAAATTTAGATTTGTTCTATGGGGGAGTAAAAGGCAGCATCAAAGTAGATAGGCAGAAGTTACAGGAAATAGGATCGAGCACAATATGTGGCAGATTCTAGCCATTAAGACTGTCCAATGATGGATGGAAGCCTTCTCTTCACTGAAGTATTCAAGAGGAGGCTTGAGGGTGATACTTCAGTAAGCAATGTTGTAACTGGCACAGCAATGACCATTTCCTGAAATCCTACTGAATACCAGGCTGTGCTAGGCCTTTTACAATGTTATTTCCAGTTCTTAGAACAGCCCTGCAACGTTTACACCGTCCACAATTTACAGCAAAGAAATTAAAGCATAAAGAGTTCGGGTAGTTTGTTCTTGGTCAAAGAGACAATGCGTAGAAGGGCTCGCAGCTGGGAATTGGCCCCTCCAGATAGGTCCCTGCTCCTTTCATTCCCCTTGCTGTGAGCTGCATGGCCATCTCTCAAAACAGGGGTGGCTACTGCAGGTGAGCGGGAAGAACCCTTCCCGTCCTTCCAGTCACAAGCCCAAGAGATGCTTCTAGGACAGCGGGCTGGAGACAATGCACATTTGGCAGAATGGTTTTGTATGCTAGTTATTTCTCAAAAACTCTTGTAGGCCTTTGTTGCTTTATCTCCATCTTGAAGTTGCCTCTGAGAACCTCGGGTGCCAGGCCTCGGACTCACAATCACATTTCACTTTTACCTTGCACCTCTTGTTCTACCCAGCTTCAGCGCCGTGCCCACACTGCGCTCGTGAACCCTTACAGGCTCTCTGGGGCGGTGAGTGCCGGCAAATGGCAAGACCGGAGCGGGTAACTCGCTCCCCAGAGGGAGGCAGAGATGGGCAAGGGCAAGAGCAGGGGAAAAACCACTCTACCTACACTAGTCCGGAGCCCTGTTTCCTCTCTGGTCCTGCTTCTCCCTTCTCAAGGCGAGTAGCCCTGCTCCCACCGCCATCTCCTTCCCCAGTGACTGACCTTCAGTCCCTACGTGACCTCATCAAGGATGTGTCCCCCATTTTCACCTCCTCTTTTCGAGAGAAGCAGCCTCCTTTTGCAAGACACATTTCCAAAGTGGGTGGTCAGAGGGGATCCACCTTCCAGGCTTGCTGGATTTTGATATTCTGATATAATTGCTGTAAGCTGATTTAAATATTTCAATGAATAACTTCATTTTTCTTTTCATCTTTAGGCTTTTAAAAGTGCAGGATGTCATACAAAAATTCTATTAGTAAAAATGTGCCGTGCATAATAAAATGTGCCTAACTCTTCACTACCATCTGCTTCTCCTTACATTTTTAGGGAAAGGCTTCTTTAAAGGGTTGAAATTTCTCTGTGGTACAAAGTATCAATCTTACATACTCTAACACATTGGGAGAAAACAGAGGCTCCTAGAGAAGTGTACTAATAAAGAGCCTGAACTGCACAGCAAACAGAAGAGCCATGGGGGTCCAGACAGTCATTTTTCCATGGGCCAACAACCCATTTTCTACCATTAGTCTCAGTGCTGGGAGGGTTTATACCTTACGGAATCATAGAATCTCAAAGTGGAAGAGAGCGTCTTCCACCTCTACTTTCTATCTCGTGCACTGTTTCTTCCTAGAAGTATCACTGCTAAGTGGTTGTCCAGCCTCTACTTGTATCCTTCTCGTGCTTCTGTATCTACTCTATGTGGCAACTTTTCATTCTACTTCACTTTAAAAAATGGAAGCTGGGTGTGCTGGTACCTACCAGTGTAATCCCAGCACTTGAGGGCTAAGGCAGGAGGACTGTGAGTATGAAGTCAGCTTGGACTACAGTGAGAGACTTTGTCTCACAGAAAGGAGAGGACGATGAGCTGAGGATGCAGCTCAGTGACAGAGCACTTGCCTAACATGTGTGAGGCCCTGGGCCCATTCCTCAGCACCAGAAACAAATTTTAGCACAATTAACCAACACTGATAATACTGTCAATGAATCTACTCTGTGGACAGCACTGTATTAGGTTCTACAGGGGGTCTGAAGAGCGGCGAGAGACACACGCTGTTGAGGAGCTCACGGTCTAGCTAGGGATTACTGCACACATTCAAGACACCTAAAAGTATCAGGCAGTAAATGCTAAGAAGGAAGTCCATAGAGACCACGCTAAATGATGGGAAAGTTGAGTGGTTCAGGAAGGATCACATGAGATCCTTGCTAGGGTGACCCGGCACTGTAAGATTTTAATAGGCTGTCTGGTCCTTTCTTTCACTGTCTTGCCTTAGTCTTAAGGAACTGACTTCCCTCAGAGAGATAAACTGCTCCCTGCTGATCAGAAGAGAAAAGTAGCAACATGCCATATTCTAGACCTCACTTCCGGCTGACCAGAAGTGGAAGACTTTCCTACAGTTGGACTTGTCTAGGGGGTGAGATAGAAAAGCTGCAGTGCAAAAAGGCCATAAAAAAGGCATCCAACACCAGGGAAAAACTCTACCGCAGTCTTTTCCGAAATCCCCTCTGTTCTTTATTTCCATGAAAATCTCTAGATGTGTGATAGGAGGTTTGAGTGCACGAAAGATGAAGGTCAGGAAGTGGCAGATGAAGGGAAGGGAAAAAATTGTATGTTCAACCAGGGGCCAGAAAATGGTAACAGAAAGCTCAGATCAGAAACCCACAGAGAGGCAGGGTAGAAGCGGCTAATTCAGGTTGGCATCTCCAGAACCAGTGAGGGCGGACTGGTCCCAGGCAGAACTTGACATGCACGCACACAGTTCTGAATGGATAACAGTGAAATAAATAAATATTCTAGAGAAACAAAACCTACCTGATGGCAAGACTGTGACATTTGTTAAACCAGCTTGGGGAGCATACAAAGGCTGGCCAGCTGAGAATAAGCTCAGCTTTTGCTATTGTTTGTTGAGTTTAGTATTTTTTTAGTGGTAACAGCTGCAACTGAGGCAGGAATGTGGCAATAGGTACTTACAATTCATACCTTCTACTACCTGAGAGCGAGCGGCCTAATACACATAACTGATGCCATCTTAACCTTCTTTGAATTCCTAGCCCCTCAACACTGGGGGGAGGCGAACCATCAAGAGAAACCAACAGCTCTCCTGGGGGTAAGGGGACCCTCATCTGTACTGTTTACATATCTCTGTGTTGCAAATACCTCCGTTATGGTGGATCTGAAGCTAGCGACACGAAGTCAGTAAACACTGAGCTGGGGACAGACACTCGCAGTCCACTGTTGAGACCACTCTGGACCCCCTCCAACACGGCCACTGTCACTGCAAGTCTCAGCAACAGAGCTGAGGTCAAAGCAGTGGTGCCTGCTGGCCTTCCTCTCAAGCTCTTTCCTACCTGGACTCCTGCTCCCTGGGATGATCGTGGATGAGGGAACTGAAACGGCAAGGTCTCGGGCACGGTCACGGGGCTGGTCAGCAGTGGAACCTGGTCACGAATATTCCTCTGGTCCCAACCTGGGCCTCTTTCCTCAGTACCTGGCTCTCCTCAGGGATTCAGAAGGAGGTGGGAATGTATTGGGAAAAGCGCTGCCATTTGGCCATCTATGCACAAGGCTAAACTCCCTGCCCACCCCCCCACTTCTCCTTTTCTCCCCAAGAAGCCCTCCACTCATATGGATCAACCTAGCCTTTCTAACTGGAACTGCGGCACACGCACTAAAAATGTTCCCAGAAATCCTGACCCTTAAAAGCACCATTTTCTGTGACTTCGACTCAAGGCAGCTGTTATTAGCACCATTTAGTTGGGTCAGCTACAGCTTAGCCTGTGGGCCAGGGGCCAGCAGGTAAGGTTCCAGGTGTCCCGAGCTCCTAGTGCCTGTCTGACCAGCACAAGGCCCCTCCATTCCCAAAGCTGAACCAGGCACCAGGAGACATGTTCCTCTCTGGGCCCAGCTTTCCTTCTGAGGCGTGAAGCTCTATGTAAAGCATGACCTAGATTTTTTGGATGAGTGATTGCAATCTATAAATGCCTAACCAAGTGCATGGCATGAATTGCCTAAAGTGAGAAAGAGCTTTTAGCTGTACTGCCTCTGATGAGCAAGACAGCCAGCTGTCCTGGGGGTGGGAAGGGGCTCCCAACTAAACACAAGGGAAGAGAGGGGGCCGGACAGGACTCAGCAGCCCCAGCGAGCTGACTCTGAGATGACGCTGTGAGATGTTAAGAGCCACCGTGGAAGGCAGTGCCAACTTCTGCTTCTCCTGGAGCCCATTAAACTCCCTAGGAACAATCAAATTTTCTGGCTGGGTAGTTAAGCGGCATTTTGATTCTCTGGTGAGCTGCTGTCACTGCAGCCAACTTGGCTCCCAGACAGTGGCCGTCTGCACCACCACCCACAGGAGCATTCCTGGCAAGGGGACAGGAACCAGCAGGGTCTTGTCCCAGCTGCCCACAGGGACACAGAAAGCTGCCACCAGTAGGGTGGGGGGGCAGGGGAATCCCCCCAAAAGAGAGATGGACATAAACAAGCCAAGCAGAAAGCCTGGGGCAGCACTCCGACCTTGCTCACTGGAGCTTATGTCTATCAATGTTCTAGTCTTTAAACACTGGGCCTTCTCTGCTTATTTTTGGGCAGGCCAAACAAGTACTAAGAAGCAACTGGCGGAGTCTTCCCAAATACCCACACCGTGAAATAACAGAAGCCCCATCAGAGAATTATTGGTTAGCCACAACCTTGACCTTCTTTGGAAAGATCCTGCGAATGTGTGACTCAATCGTATCAGATCTGCAAGCCTGGACAACACATAACCCCATTCCAGGGCAGGACAGAAGCACGGCAGTCAGTGTGTACTGGTATAAATAGCAAAACACTGGACACAGCTTTACCACAAATACACTTCTCACAGTGAAAGTTCTTCTTTGCCTATAATTCTCTGCAATAAACAATTCTGTACAAAAAAAACTGTATCACAATATGGGGTAAAAGTCACTGAGCAAAGTCTTTGGTCATCAGATAGAAGCTATTCTGAAAGTCGTTGGTTGCAGTTTAGGGTTAGATTACTTTTGATGAAGTGCATTGAACTATGAAGCACTATAACAATACTAAATGGTTCTTATTTCTCTTGTGGAATTTAAAAATTATTTTGTTTTTTCCTTTGGTCCTGTTGTTTTTTGGAGATCCCAGACTAGAACTATGATTTTTCAGCAAACACTGAACTATGACCACACCACAAAGAGCAGCTGTCCATTGTGGCTGTCTATCTGGCCAGTGAGATCGGACTTGGGTCCCCCTTATAGCCTTACTCCATGGTAGTGAGCTGGTGGCCTTCCAAGCTTTTTCTCAGTCCCAGACTTCAAGTTCACCCTCCATTAAGGGCCTCGAATTAGATGTCTTTGTACTTTCTTGGGTGCCGGGGAGAAGCGTGGAGGAGGGCATGAGATGAGGTCTCCTATGAGAGAGCAAGGGGCTGGGTGGGGAGTCCCTTCTTCTCCGAGGGGAGGAAGAGGCTGGCTTCTCTTCAGTAGGCAAGAGCCAGATAAGAACACGGCTCAAGGGCCGGGGATTTAGCTCAGTGGCACTGTGCCTGCCCGACAAGTGCAAGGTCCTGTGTTCGATCCCTGGTGCCGAAAAAAAGAATGTGGCTCAAAACATCCCAAGTCATGAAGTGGTGCTGTGTGACCAACTCACAGAGACTGCCAAAAGGTAACACCGAAATCCACAGTCACCCACTGGAAGACGGAAGAGACCAGGAGAAATATTTGGTACTGCTGAAGGAAATGCAGCATCTCACCAGGACAAATGAGCAACAAGGTTTCGCCTGGCTCTCTGGAGTGCTTCCTGTGTACCAGGCTCTCCTCCACGAGACCCCTTCGTAAATCAGCCGTCCGAGACAAGCAGTAGCACTGCTGCCTGACAGACACAGACACTGCGGGAAGGCAGTAAAGTCACCTGGCCAAGTTTACAGCTACTAAGTGCCGGGCCAGGATTCAAACTCAGGCTGCTTAGTCTAGCATGGCACTGATTGCTTGTGAGTCTCCACGTGCTCATGTGCTGAAGAAGAGCTCTGCTAATGTCCCAACCCTCCCGGCAGAGATATCAGGAGATCAGTCTAGACAGGAAAAGAACTGGGACTCACACGGTTCTGGGCCAAGTTCAAACTGGCTGATCTGTGGGTCCCGAACATCGACGTGGCCTGACACTAGTCACGCAGGCACCTGAAACCCTCACTATGCTGTTGCTGTGCTAAAAACCTACGTGTACTTGTGCTCTATGGACAGCCTCTTTCTCCTCCTAGGTGAGCTCCTCTGAGCCTCATACCAACTCGGTGAAGTGCTATTTTTATTACAGGTGAGAAACGGAGGGTAAGGCAACGTGACCCGCCTGCAGCCGCCTGCCCCATGAGTGAGAATGTGGGAACCTGAGTTCTGGTCTTTGGACTTGAACCCTGCCCTTTCCACCACATCCCACTGCCTTTCAACCTGAGTTATGGACACAGAATGCACATGCTCAGCCCTTAGAGGTTCTGCAGCTGCCTTGCGTCCTCAGTGACTGGACACTAGCAGCAACAGTCACCATCACGTAGGGCCAGTGACCATGTGCCAGATGCGGGCTGGACCACACGCCAGATGCTCTCCACATTTTACTCAGCACTGGGTGGTGGATGTCTTCTCAGTTTCATACACAAAGGAACAGATACAGGCGGTAAAAAGAACTCGACAAAAGTCCAACAGCTAGGAAGTAGGAGGAAGGGGCCGAACATTATTGTCCTCTTTTTTAAAAAAATCATTCTATGTTTTTAAGTTATTCCTGTGTATGATAATTCTGCACTGCCTTTTAACTGGGACTCTTTCAGGGCTAAGGAGAAGGGTTGTGTCCGCTTCCGCTCGGTGTTCTGCAGGCTCTGGTACTCTGCTGTACGCACTGTGCTGGGACCTCTTCCTTTAGTGAGATCAAACTGCCTGAGGTCAGATACCCATGCAACTACCAGGAAACAAAAGGCGGTGATGCCCACTTACAGCAGGAGAGAGTTACATGCCTTCAAGAGGGGAAAGTGGCTAAGGGCGGCATCCTCAGGGTCGGGACTGAAGGGGATTCCAGGAGGAGAGACAGTGAGGGCACGAATACAGTATTTAAGGGAACAAAAGGGTGAAAAGACGAGACAAAAATCTACTAAGGACCTAAGACTTAGACTGCTCTTTTAATCTACCCTAAGATCTCAGGCACTTAATTCCACTTACAGTCCCGGGCAGAGCAGCCCTCACCCACAGTGACAATCAGATGAGTCTGAGACTCTTGAAGGTCTGTAAAGATCCTGAATTTAAAAGCCACTGTGCAACAGAACAAGGCATCCTCAAGTGAGAAAAACTTAACACTTCCTAGGCTTTTGATCCTGATTAGATTTCCTAAAACTTATCAGGTAAAGGGCTCGGGACTTAGCTCAGTCGTTCCGCCGCCTGCCGTGAAAGAGAGTTCGATCCCCAGTACCAAAAAAAAAAAACTTATCAGCTAAAAAGTTGACCTTTTTGAGGCCTAGAAAGGTAAAGGGCCATGGCTGGGCACAATGGTACAAGGCTGTAATCCCAGCACTCTGGTGGGCTGAGAAAGGAGGATCTCAGGTTTGAGTTCAGCCTGGGAAAACTAGGAAACTTAGTGAGACACTGTCTCAAAAACATAAAAATGAGGCCAAAGCTGTAGCTCAGTGCAAAGGTCCAGGGTTCAATCCCTAGAACTACCCTGACTCCCCACACATATGAAAAAGAAAGATAAGGGGCCACGCTTGAAGCAGCTGACATTATGAGTTTCTGAAGGCATCTAACCAGTTGATTCCCAGATTGCTCAAATGTGTGGTATCTTGCCCAATCACTCAACCAGTCAGTCCTTGGTTTGCTCCCAGGAACCTGCTCTGATCAGGGCAGTGGTCATAAGGATGCTGAGGGTCAAGCTACCACATGGGCACTGGAAATACCACCAAACAGCCCTGACTTGCATTTTCCTAACATTTCACTCTGGAAGTCCTTTCATGTGCATTACCTCTTCTGACAGTCCTCACAACCTTGTGAGCTGGGTGGTGATGATCTCCATGTTACAGATCAGAAAGGCACAAAGACAGGACTAAGAACCTGTACAACTGGCATGTGTTCAGAGTGATGGGAGCTTTGCCGCGTCAGTTATTAACCCTGGATAAATAGCTGCCCACAGATAATATCACCACCAGAGGGTGGAGCTGCAAGTTCCATGCTTGGATTTTCTCCTCAGGAGTCCAGGGTTCTCTGTTCAAAACATGCTAGTAGTCACTGTGGGGGCTGCAGACTAAAGGAGTATCCTGCCCCCAAAAGCATCAAAAATTCACAGGCAATACATAATGCAGAACAGAAGGTGACATGGGCCTGGCAGGAGGGACGCACAAAAACACTAAGGCAGTGCAGAAGAAGGAAAAGCCAGATTTGACCAGAATTAGTGGTACAACCTTCACGTCGAGGGTGACATTTGAGGGGGACTTGGAAGGAGGGGTTAGATTTTGACAGAGTGAGACAAAGGCAAAGGTGTGCTGAGAAGGGAAGAAATTTCCAGGTTTGGAGATGGCAGAGTTACAAGTCTATTTGGGAAAGGACGAGAAGTCCAGTTTGGGTGAGTTAAAAGCTCTTCCTGCCTTTTTATTAGTATATGTTTGTGACACATGACAAACACATTCATTGTGGGGAACTGGTACATCTATAGACTGCATCTTGATCCTTTTTACTTCCCCTTCCCTTCTTTCCAACAGAAAGCTCTTCTATTTAGGGAGAAAAGTTTGGGAAGACAGATCAGAGTCATCGTGTTGGGGAATATATAAACTAGACCGAGGAGCTGCCCTTACTCTGATCTTTTCTTTAAAACTGCAAAAGCAGATGGCCCACCGAGAGGGAGGCAGCACTCTCTGGGTCGGCATCATGTTGAAATGGACAGGCTGTTGTAACCTGACAACCTGAGCTGGAAGGCCTCTTTTCAAGGTGGATGATTTCTCCAGAACCTTGACCCTTATTTCAACTTCCACATGGGAAGAGCCTGCAAAGACACAGCCACCAAGGGAAGATGAGAGCACATCGGAGGGTCCACGCACAGCCAGAGTCAGCCCCAGCAGGGCAGCAAGACAAAGGCCCACTTTTGCTGAACTTGACTCATTTTGTTATTTAGGAAGCTGGATCACTTGCTGTTACTGTTTCTCCTCCTCCATTTTACTAATATTAGCATCTTAATTTAAGGTTCCTTCCTGTCCGCATCTTTCTCTGCCGCCTTTAGAAGCCAAGGAAGCACACCAGAAGGACATCCATGGTGACAGGGCAGCAGCCACTGTAGGGCTCTCCACACTGGTGCCTGGGAGGCAGGATCCAGTACTCGCTGGTAGATGAAATTCAGATCCCCAAAAATGTGTAAGAAAGTTGGCAAGGATGAGGCTTAACGTGAGCACGGCTCTGGCTTCACTGCTTGGCCAAGTAGGGTCATACGGTTATTTCACCTGCAGTCATTCACAAGCAGCACATCTGGCCTGATCCACAAAGCGACTGCAGTGAACTCACAGCCGCGCAGCCAGTCCACACAGGTTCAGAGCAGACAGTGAAGCCAGCAAGCACTTCAGCGCTCCCCTCACTTGGTATGTTTTCTTCCCTTTTCTCTTGCACCTTTCAGCACTGTAAAGTACCTGGTCCCCTACCAAACCACAGGAAAGTCGTGTGTCAGTCACCTGAGACTCATAGTCTTCAAGCACATCTGCACAGTAACTGTGAGAGGAGATGACAATGCAAAGAAAAAATTCACAGAAGGTAATTTGGGGCTCTCGTGAGTTGATTTCTTTTCTAATGAGGAGAACTTAATGATAATATTCTACTCACCCTATGGAGAGTTTTGGGGGAATCGATGTTTTTTCTCTCAGGACGAGTATGTCCACTTTATACAGAAGTAAATGGATATATTAAACCTGATGT